TAGATTGTGCCAAAAAACAATTCCTAAGGACTTCAAAGTTGAAAAATATTTCTTTCAGACGAAAAGAGCTTCCGAGGTAAAACGTGTGATGCCAGTGCAGATTCTGCATTTCTCCTGGTTTTTCAGAAGAAATGTATTAAATTAGTATCTATGATAAAGGATGGGTTCCTAGATCATCAAATTAAAATTTACACTTTCCTAGAAATGATCATGTTGAAGTGAAACAAACTTCTGAACTGCCCCATTCATATAGAACAAAATAATCCATAGAAATGGTCAAACACGTGCAAAACTTGTGCAAACTGGAAGTACTTTTGATCCCACAATTCAGAGTATCTTTTACGAAACTCTGGAAGTACAATGTCCGCTCCAGTTGCAGCCACTTAATTGATCTTGGCAGCTTGGGGATTTCACACGGGCTTCACCACCCTGCTCCTTGGTCTCTGCTATTACATTTGGCAGTGCAGAAGGCTCATTTTTTAACTCGTAGTGGCCTAGAAATCCACTTCTGCTGCCCTATCCAGTAAGAGGTTCTGGCCCTGATGGCTGCTGTGATGGGACAAATCACAATGTTGACTGTTTCCTGAGCCTCCACTTTTTCCACCCTGAACTCATTAGTTCATTCAATCTTCAAGCAACCCTGAGGGAAGGAGCCATTAGCCTCATTTCTCTGGGGGAAAGGCAAGTGAGGCACAGAGAGGTGAAGTGACTTGCCCAAGGTCACACAGCAAGTGAGAATGAAAGCCAGAGCTGCCTGATTCCAAAGCCAGTGTCATCACTGTGCTGTAACCAAAGAGGTGAAGATCTAAGGCCCTTGTGACATCATGGATTTGTCTGCATTTGCTGAGATAAAAATGGTGTATTACCAATTTAATCTCATCTCTAAGAACTTTTCATTTCAGGAGGTATAATGTGTTTTATTAGATGATGAGACACTTGAGTATGGTTCTGAAGCTCCCTGCTGAGCAGGGCCGACTGTGGAATGTCCTGTTTCTGGGATGACATAAGGGACATACATTAAAACGAATGTTACGAAATGATTCCCTGTTATTAAGAAATAAACTGCCCTGGCTAAACAAACTGTGAAACAGTCACATAATGGAATACTACTCGACAATGAAAGAGGAACAAAGCACTAGTTTGTGCAGAAACACAGATGAGTCCCAGCAGCCTTATTCTAGGCAAAAGAAACCAGACACAAAGAACACACTGTGCATGCTTTTATTTAATTCTAGAAAAGCCAAGTGCATTAGCTTGCTAGGGCTGCCATAGCAAAGCACCACAGACTAGGTGGCTTAAACAACAGAAATTTACTGTCTCACAATTCTGGAGGAGAGAAGCCTGTGATCGAGGTGTTGCAGGCTGGTTTCTTCTGAGGCCTCTCTCCTTGGCTTGTAAATGACCATTTTCTCCCAGTGTCTTCACATGGTTGTCACCCTGTGGGTATCTATGTCCTAATTTCCTCTTATTTTAAAGACACTAGGCATATTGGATTAGGTCCCACCCTGATGACCTCATTTTAACTTAATTACCGCTTTAAAGATCCAATCTCCAAATATAATCACATTTTCAAGTATTGGGGGTTAGGACATGTAAATTTTGAGAGGACACAATTCAGCCCATTGACTAGACTATGGTGAAACAAACCAGACTGGTGAGAGTGGGGGTTGGGCACATGCTAGGAAGGGGCCTGGGGAACTTTCTGGGTTGATGGAAACTTGTATGTGATGATTCGTGTTTGAGTTACACAGGTATCTATGTTGTCAAACTCACTGGAATAGTAAGCTTAAGACTTGTGCATTTCATTGTCTGTTAATTTTGCCTCAAAGAAAACCAGGAACAAATATCAAACTCTAGTTAATGATATGCATGCGTATTGAGGGATAAAGTGTACTGAATGTCTACCAGTAGCTTTCGAATTGATGGAGGGGTGAATAAATGGATAGATTTGTGAAAATGCAAGTATAGTTGGATAACCTAGGTAGTGGATATATGTGGGTAGTCACTGTACAATTTCAACTTTTCTATATGTTTGAAAATTTTCATCATGAAATGTTGGGGGCAAGAATTAAAAAATAAAATTTTCATCTGAGCATGTTAGCCAGACATTTCTCATAAAGCCTCTTCATTGCTAAATCAAGTCACCATGAGCCCATGCCCAAGTCATTTGAACTTCAGTGTCTCCCACTAATGTTTTAGCCCCAGTATACCTGGGGCCAGGGAGGGGCAGTAGGGAGACAATTCTGGGAGAGGGCTGAGGGTATTAGGAAGTTCTAGGGACTAGCTAAGTTGTTCAGACTTGGAGTTCGAGGAAATTGAGGTCCAGAGTTGTTTAAGCATTGCTGTTTAGGATCCAGGGAAGTCCATGATCTTTTTTTTTTTTTTTTTTTTTTTTTGAGACAGCCTCGCTCTGTTACCCAGGCTGGAGTGCTATGGCATCATCACAGCTCACTGCAACCTTGAACTCTTAGGCTTGAGCAATCCTTCTGCCTCAGCTTCCTGAGTAGCTAGGACTACAGGCACATACCACCATGCCTGGCTAATTTTTCTATTTTTGGTAGAGATGGGGATTTGCCATGTTGCCCAGGCCAGTCTCGAACTCCTGGTCTGAAGCGATCCTACTGCCTCGATCTCCCAGAGTGCTAGGATTACAGGTGTGAGCCACCGTGCCTGGCAATGATCTTTTCTCCTAAGCCATGATGTACTTAGGTCTCTTGGGGGTGTTTGGATGGGCATATGAATGATATGGAGTTGGCAGCATATAGCACGTAGTAGGCACATAGTGTTTGTTGACCAAATATTTGAATGAGATTGGAAAGGAGGCTTCCAAAGATGTAACCAGCAGGAGACAGTGAAGCTGCCTGTCTTGGGGAAGTGGGGGCATTCTGTCTCTACCTCTGGCCTGGCCTGCGATACCTTGAGAAACGGGCCCAGGAGAGGCCGCTTGGTTCCTGGACAGCCAGGGCGAGGGCACTTTGCCACATTCTTAGGAGAGAGCACATCCAAACCAATTTCTTTTTCTAAAAACTCAGTGCTAATGGGTTCCAGATGTCTGTTTGTTATATAATGGGGTTTGTTTTAATAGCGTCAACTTCCAGATGTGCAGCCTGGAATCAAGAAGCCCGTTGGCCCCCTGAGGACACTGTGAGCCAAGCTGAGAGCTGCCTGGGGGAGAGATAGACATACATGCAGGACCAGGGAGGGGAGAGGAGCCAGGGTGCCTTCTTGTTGCCCACTGGGCCACTCACCTGCCCAGCTGCTATCCCCAGCCTGAAAGGCAGGGAGGGTGATCCAGTCTTCTTTTTGTCAGCCCTGACTCTGAGCAGGGCCTCCCAGGGGACAGCCAGAAAGGCAGCCTGGGAGGGTCTGCTGTGGAATCCCGGTTGCACCAGTCGTAGCTGCGTGAGCTCGATTAAGTCACTTGGCCTTGCTGAGACTCACTGTCTCTGGCTGTAAAGTCGATGAACGCCATCCCACCTACAGCGGTCACTGTGGAAAGTGAAATGAGGTGAGGGCACACAGTGCAGATTGGAAAGCCTTAGGCTTTTCCCTTTGGGCAGCGTGGAAAGACCAGGGGCCCTCGTAACTCAGCATCCTTCCCTACTCCTCTTGCCAACCCCGAAGCCACTGGGCAGCACGGGCTGCATTTTCCCTGGAACACTGGAAAAGAGCCAGTGATGGAGAGAGCTCACTGCCTCCCCCAGTGGCTTGTTCCACGGCCCGCAGCTCTGACAGATAGAACATTCTTCCGTTCGCTGAGCCAAAGGCGGCCTCTGGGTGACCCCCAGCTAGTTGGAGTTCTGCTCTCTGGAGCTTTGCTGAGCAGTCTACACGCTCTTCTACCTGATGGCCCTAGGGTGTGGGAAGGAGGTCTCCCAACCTTTTTCCTCTTAGGTGGCTGCAGCTATAACATCAGTTGAACTAAAATTAAGACTGCTTTAGGAGAAATGTTCAAGGATCCCAAACAAGAAAAGCCACAAAATCTGAATGTAGTCACAGGAGAGAGATGTCCACAAAGGGAAAACTCATTACCATAAAGGAGGTCATCATTTCCAAATTAATCTATAAAAACAATGCAATTTCAACAAATTTCCAATCAAATTGGCAAAGTGGTAGGGGAGGGAATATAGAGTTGGCATGGAAAGTAAGTGTAGAATAGTCACAATATTTCTGCAAATGAAGTACACTAAGGCAGGACTTACCCAGCTGTTAAAACATATGGTAAAACCAGAATGCTTCAAACAGTATGGCACTAGCACTGGAACAGCAGAGAGAGAAACAGCACACAAAATGAAAAGTCCAGAAATAGACTGGTCTACAGATGAGAATGCAGACTGTGCCAAAGAAATGCACTCCAGAGAAAAGCAAACAGGAAATTTTAACAGTGGTTACCTTTAGGGAGAGGGACTTGGTGTGGGGCAGTGGTGAGTATGAGAGAAGAGTTCATTTTTCCTTTTGTATCTTTTAGGATTGTTTGACTTTTCCAATCTTCTATATATATATTGCTTTTTAAAAAATGCCAACATACTTTTATATCACTAGATGATAGGTAGAAATTTTGATCCCTTTTGTGTTTCCTCCTTTGTACATCTCTGTATTTAAGAGAACCTAATAACTGTTATAACACTAATAACAAAAGGATATATAGCAAAATGTTAGTGGTGATTACCTCAGGGAGGTGAAAGGGGAGGCCTTTCACTTTCTAAGCCATGCATTTCCATACTTTGCATCTCTCTCCTCCTCATTTCTCTTCTTTTTTCTAGAGAGCAAGAATAACTTTAAAAATGGAGAAGAAGAATAAAAATTTGAAGGGGGGAAAAAAAAAGCCAAAACAACAAACTAGGGCAGAAATGATGGATTACTCAAGAAATGGGACTGAACAACTGGCTAACAATTCGGAAAAAATAAAGTTAGATTTCTACCTTACACCAAAATAAACCACAGATGGCTTAAAGATTTAAATGTTAGAACTTAAACCAGAAGAGAAGCTGAATACTTACACAATTGTAGGATAGGGAACAACCTCCTGAGAAGACATCCTAGGAACAGGGTGATAGAGTTCATGACATTACAATGGAAGGCTTCTTTCCAGCAAAACAAAGGTCAAACTGAGAAAAAGAAGAGAAGATTTAATGGAGGATCAAGAATTTTAATACATAAAGAGCTCTTATAAGAATTCTTGCCTCTTAATTTTTTTTCTAAGCCTAGAATAGAGGGAAGCTGACCACAGTGGAATCAGAGTTTCCTAGGGCAGGAGGAGGGTGGGAGGGATGGGGCCGGGCCAGAGTGTTCAGGATGGGGGTGGTCGGCTCAGGGGCGCCGCTCCAGGGCCAGGGTTGGGCGCCCTCCATGTGGCAGGGGTTCCCCAGTCTCCCTGGCATTCACAATCCTATCTGGTGCCAGCTGCTTGCCCAGCCTGGCCTAACCTCCCTGGCCAGGATATCTAACATTTTGCCATCCATTCTCACACATCGGGCATTTCCTTATTTCCAGGACTTTTGCAAATGCTAGTAACTCTGCCTGGCTCACCCTCTCTCATCTCTACTTGAAAAAAAAGCCAACTGCTCCTTTAAGGCTCAGCTCATACCTCCCCTGTTTTGCAAAACTGTCTTTGACCCACCTACTTGCACCCCCCTCACTAGGGAGCCTCCCCTGGGGCTCCCACAGCACCTGCCCAGCATTCTGCCCAGCACTTGTCACACTGAACTGTCATTTCCTGCTCACCTTTCTGGGTCCTCCTGCTAGACTATGGGCCCCTCAAGACAGGGGGCTCCATGGGCCCCCTTCCCCCTCCCCAGGTCTGGCAGGGGGCAAGTGTTCAACCAGTATTTCATGAAGAAGTGAATTATACTCTGAGTGACAGAGGAGAGCAACTGAATTGACGCCAGGTGAGTTTCATGTTCAGTCCATTTCTTTCCTAAAATAGTATGATTTTATTAAAAGCAAGGACTCAAGTTATTTAACTATGATGTCATTATGACAAATAATTTTCAAGATGTATCATTCAATTATGATATAATAACTTCTCATAATGACATCACAGTTAAAAGAGGTGCCAAGTCCCAGTAAGATCAAAAGAAAGAAATACACCAAGGGCCAGTGGTACCTGAATGAGCTTAACTATGTTGAAAGCCGTGTGGAGTGTGACAATGGTCTCACATTAGGCTACGGGCCAGGCGTGTCCCTGTCCTTGAGATACCTACCCACAGCCTGCTAGGGAGCGACTGGGTGGGAGAAAGAGCTAAGTTAGTGACATTCCAAAGTTCTGTGGCAACACAAAGGAGGAAGTGTGTCTGTGCTTGCCAGGAGATCACAGCTCTCCGGCAGATGTGGGGACGTGTATGCTAAAGGCTTGCACGCAACATGCAGTGTGAGGAGCCAGAGTGACAGCCCCAGGGGCAGATGACTCTCCAGCATCTAGACCAGCACAGTAGGCCTTCAGTAAATATTTGTTCAATGCAAGGACTGAATGGAGTTTTGGAGCAGTGTCTGGAGATGGTGCTTAAGTCACCCCTAGAGGGTCTCCAAAGGCTAAATCTTCTTTGTGAGTTAGAAAAACAGGGCTGTTCCCACTGAAGTTTGGCCCTCAGAGAACCCAGCTCCAAGAGAGCAGATGTCAGGGGCCAGAGCAGGGCCCCTCGGGGGTGGGAGAGGGCAGAAGGGAGGAGGGGAGCTCCTGAGATGCAGTCCCTGGAGATGGGGCCTGGGTCCTGCCTTTGCTCCTGGGGCCAGAGCAGCAGGAGAGGGTGCTGGCCAGAATTGGGGGCTGAGAGGGCCAAGCCAGCTTCAGCAGGCCCAGAAGATCATGTGCACATGGGCACAGGCCGCCATGCACCATGGGCTCATAGAGGATTTGTCTCCGTGTTTTGTGCACTGTGTATCAGGCAAGGTAACAGGAGCTCTGATTTAGGGCTCAAAGGTTACATACATTCTTGAAATCTCTTAGCTAGAGAGTGATAAGACCAGGATTCAGTTTCACATCTTTCTAATTCCAGAGCCTGACCTTTTTTTCATTCTGCTAAAAAAAAAAATTGAGGTCACAGGCGCATGGCAGGCGTGAAGCCTGGGGCCAGAGCCAGGCCTCAGTCTGGGTCAGTGTAGCACCAGGACTGGGGGTCAGAACCACGGTCGTTCTGGGGACAGGACCAGACCAGGGTCAGGGGTCAGAGTGGCCAGGGCTGAGAACAACAGGCTTTCTGGGCTTTATGCCACCAGCCAGACACAGCATCCTGGGGTTGGTGGCAGGGCCTGCTGGAGCCCCCAGCTCCCTCACACCCCCACCCACCATCCAAGGCCTGGCCTGACCTTCCTCCCCAGGGTGCGGAACTGGCTCAGCCCTTATCCTGGAGGAGGCCACAGCTGCTCCTGCAGCCCTGGTCCCAGCAGACAAAGGCGCTTTCTTTCCCAGTACAAGGTCTTGATTGCATGTTGCCCTGGATCCAAAAGCTCCTGTGGATGAAGTTGTTCCCTCCCAGGGTGTGTGTGTATGCGTGTGCACGTGTGTGTGCATGTGCACGTGTGTGTTGGGTCCCTGAGAGCTGGGTTGTCAGAGTTCAAGCCCTCTCCCAGCCTTCTGGGTTTGGCTTGGCATTGCTCAGTCTGCACCTTTTTTGTACATCTTTAGGAATCTACGTATGTGTGTATGTGTCTGTGGTACATGTGAGCATGTTTGCGAATGTCCCTGCAGCTGTATGTGTGACTACCTAAGGTATGTATACCTGTGCATATTTCTGTACACATCAGCATATGTTCATACACAGCTGCATATCTATGTAACTGTGTAACTGTGCCTGTGCCAACATGCTTTTGGGGGTGTGCATGCATGTTTCAGGTGTGTCTACATGAGACACCTGGCACCAGGCCTTCACCTCTGTTACTTCTGGCCACGCCTCCCCATCCTACCCCACCCCTGGCTGCTATGAGGGGCTCTGAAGTGTGCAAGGCCTCCTAAAATAGCCCCCTTTCTTCTTCCCAGTCCCACCCCCATCTCTGCATTTGTCTGGGAACAACCTGGCCTCTTTCAGCTCTGGGAGGAAGACAGGTTTGTACAGTTTGGCTTGGCCCATATACTTTCCAAAAATTCCCTGGCTCCCAGCCAAACTCTTTATAAAAAGGCTCATGGGGAATAGCCTAACGGGAAGGTGGGAACCCTGCCTGGGGGGCTCAAGACTCCCATTCTGAACCCCAAGATCAAATAGGAGCATTAGTTAGCTGAGCTTCAGCCAGAGAGGAGGCCCCATGGCCTGAGGCTAAGCTTAGTCTGAGGACAGTCCACCCACAAAGAGGGGGACACGGCATCTTGTGCCCAAGGTAGCAGAGCTGGGAGGGGCCCAGGGCTCAGGCAGCTCAACCCCCACTGAGCAGACCAGAAGGAGAGGCCCAGAGCGCTGTCCTAGACCATCCAGGGAGCTGGCCTCTTCCTGGCAGGGGGGCGAGGGGGCCCTTCCATGGGTAACCCTGGGGCTGCCCCCTTGCAGGGAGGTGGGTGCCATGCCAGTCTCTCACAGTGTCACGGTAGCAGGCTCTGAGCCTGGCTGCCCCTCACTCTTGGCCGGTGGGGAGTTCAAGGCCTCCTGACTCCAAATCAGAAAGGCAGTGTCTGAGCAGAGGGTGGGTTTCACCTAGCATTTGCCTGATGTGGGGTCTCAGGCTGGTTTCTCCCAGCCCCACGAAAGCATAGGAAGGGCTCTCCCCACTGCAGTCCTGTGCCAGCACGGGGTCCTCCGGGTGTCCTGGGGTGTCAAAGGGCTGTCCAATGGGTAAGAACTGATCCTGAGTGGATGCTCCAGCAGGTGGCAGTCCCTTCACTGGCCTGTCAAGGGAGGCACAAGGGTTCCTGCTGGAGGAGGTGCTGCAGCCATGTCAGATACGGGAGGCTCAGGCTGGTTCCTTTTGTCTAATCCCCACCAACTCCCACCAACCACCCTTCCCCTCTCCCCTTCAGGAATCTTTTTCTAGACTGGGAGGGATGGCAACTGGGCAGTTTCATTCCTACCTATCACGTGTCCAGGCCAGGGACTGCTTTTGAAACTCAAAAGCCAGACAGAGAATCTTCTTTCCCCACTTCCCATTGTCATATCTTGTCCCTGAAGGTAGGAGCACAGACTGGCCAGCTCTAAAAGGAGAGTGGAGCCAAAGGGTACAAGGAACAACCAGTAACTTAAAAAAGGTTGAGATTTCTAGAACATTGTGCAAACCCAGTTGACTGTGCCGAGCAAGTACCACTTTGGATGGATGTTTTATTTCTTTCAGCTCTTCCTCCTTAGAGAGTTTGGGGAGGCTGGACCCATAGGGTTGGAGTAGTGGATCACCGCGCCTTCTTCTTGGGCCCATTTTGGGGGTGCTGGGTTGTGCATTGAGAGTGGGGCTGGCGGGGGCTCCATGTCATCCTGCACTGTCAGTCTAGGGGTGGGGGCTGCCTCTCTGTCCCCCTCATGGAATGCCCATTACCCCCACTTGTCTGGAGGAAGAGAGGAAGTAGCTGCAGGGGCCTACCCAGCAAGAGTACCTGCTCCCTTGGCCCACTGCTCTCAGATGCAAACCCACCCTAGGCAGGTCTGAGCTGAGGGCCTGCTCCTTGGATACACAGGTCCTGCTTCTGGATGGGGAAATCTGACAAGGGTCTGAGGTGATGGCGGGAGGGTCTCCCACCCCGTGAAACCCAGGGGCTGGGGCTGGGGCTTTCTTCAAGCTCCTACAATCCACTGAGGCCTGCACTCCCTCCCTGAGAAGGCACTCACCCAGGCCTTGGCCCCTCCAGCTCTTTGCTGGCCTGGAAAGTCTGGGATCTGTAAACGGAAAAGCCTGGGTCAGACCTGGAGTGGGGAGGGGGAAGGGGGATAGGAGCCAGTCTTCTGGGTCTGGTCCCCTCTTGGTCAGAGCCAGGAAAGAGGCTTAACACCTCAGCAGTGCGAGTCACTGCCTGCTCCGGCAGCCCCTCCCAGCCGGGGCTCTCCTACCCCACTCGCACCTGCAGGGTGGCTACAGTAAGATCACTCACTTTTTGGAAGTCCTGAGGATCCTCAGGGAGCCCATAGGTGCTGGGAACAGAGAAGGGTGAGGGCCTGTTGTCACCCTGAGGGGGTGGTACAACAGGCGCATGCGCCCAGCTGGTAGACTGCACTCAGGGGACTTGCAAAGCTGCTTCAGTGTGGCCGCAGCACTGCGGGGACCTGGACTCCTGGGCCTGTCCTGGCGCCCTGCTTCTGAGAGCCAGCTGAACATGCCAGTGGGAGACCGGACGGTCCCCTCCCTTAACATGCATCCTGATTCAGTGTTCCCACGTGTCACCTGCTGGTAGTATCAGGAGCCTGGTGATGTCCATGGCTTTAGAATTTCTCAAGTGCTGGATCCAACTAGCAGACAGGTATTTGTCTGTCCACTGGTTTCTTTTTTTTTTTTAAACATTGAATTTATTATACACACTTAAAAATCAGGAGATTTTACACAAATATCTGAATCTCTAATGTCTTTTGAAAAAAAAAAAAAAACCCAGGCGATCCAGAGCCCACATTCCTGCACAGCATCCACTGGTCGTGCTGGTAGCCGCTGTCCCTTCTAGCTGGGGCAGATGGTCTCTAGTTTCCACAGTTCCCACCACTTCCTATCACCTAAAGTCTGACCCGTGTCACTCATATATGGCACCTGCCTTGCCCAGCAGGCGTGTGAGCTTTTAAACTCTGCAATATATTTAAAAAAGGGCCTCCCAGATGGACATAGACCTGCTTCTTAGTTCAGACAGGGACAAGTGTCCATCACTATGGAAAATACCAGGAGCTGCTCCCTTCACGGCTCTTGGTGACCCCTGGGCACATTGTTATGGACTGAATGTGTCGCCCCAAACCCCCAAATCCATATATTGAAGCCCTAACCCCCAATGTGGATGTATTTGGAGACAGGACCTCTAAGGAAGTAATTAGGGTTCAGTGAGGTCGTAAGGGTGGGGTCCCAGTCTGACAGGATTAGTGTCTTTAGAAGAAACACCAGAGAGCTTGCTCTCCCTCCACACGCACTCACGCACTGAGGAATGCCACATCAGGATCAAGCAAGAAGGTGGCTGTCAGGAAGCTAGCAAGAGAACCCTCCCCAGAAAACACACTGACCTTTCAGAGCCTTGATCTTGGACTTCTGGCCTCTAGAATGGTAGGAAATAACGGTATTTTGTTATGGCAGCCCAAGCTGAGTAATTTGAATTCTCTAAAAGTCTTTCTGCAATTTTTCTCACTAGGGATGATGTCAAATTTACCAGGCTGACTCCTGGTAATTTGATGTCAAATTTACCAGTTAGCCAAATCCCCCCATCTTCCTTTTTTGAAATTGTGGTACTTTGTCCCTCTCATCTCCCACACCTCTGCCGTCACCCACGACCACTGTGGGTGTGCCGTCACCCACGACCAGTGACACAGCCACCTCCACTGTACTGTGATTCACACAGGCCAGAGGGAGACCTGAACACAGAGCAACACTCCATTCTGTGTCCAAGTCCCTCTACCTGGTGTTGAGTCAGGAATGGGCAATGACTACTGGATTTCATAGTCCCCTGAGTCAGTCCTGTCCCTCAACTAGACTTTCAGGTCCCCAACAGCGGTGTGCTGTCTGATCTGTCCCCTAGAGCAGCCTAGTTTAGCCCACAGCAAGAGAGTCTGGAAGTCTCCAAGCAGTTTCCAAAGGCCTAGCACCTTTGGGAGGCCAGCTCACCAGCTCTCTTTCAAATGAGGGTGGAGTTGGCTGTGGGTTGGGGCTCACTGAAGCTCCTTCCTGCCCTCCTCTGAGCTCTGACTCCTAGGATGTGGTTTCCAGTCAGCTGGGGCCAGGGCACCTGACCCCATGGGCTTGGAGCCGCTGCTTCCTTGGACTTAGCTCCCCCGAGTCTGGCCTTCCTGTTGCCTGAAATCCAGCAGGGAATGTGACCAACGTCAAGCTCGTCTGCCAGGCTGTTCTCCTGGAATGCCTCCCTACAGACCCCTCTGCAGGCAGGCCAGCCCACAGGCCACCTACCAAGGACTCTCTTGCTGGCCCCTTCCCAAGTCAAGGGCTGTTTGGCCTCCTGGGTTCCTTCTCCCAACTCTCCTCATCCTAACCTTTTTTGGGTTTTCTCTTTAGAAAATGCCTCCTTCCTCTCTCTGCCAACATCTGCAAATTTCTCCTCCTCTGGTTCTCCTCTTTTGCTCACAAACAAGTCTCAGTGTGAAGAGGAGAGGGCAGGGCAAGGCAGGGTAGGGCAGCTCTGACTTTTCCTCTGAGTGAAAGTATGCCCTGGGGGTTTGGAGGGGGACCCTCAAGAGTCAAGCCCAAAGTCCTGTGCTTCTTTGAAATCTTGTTTTATCTTAAAAGTAGACATGAAGCTTATATTCTACAGTATGAGGCATATTTATACAAAACCATGTTTGAGTTCATAGAAAAATATTTTCAATGACTTATGTTTTGCATTGAATCTATGAGGAGGCATCAACTAAGCAGTGCTGTTGCCACGTTTAGTGGTGCATGTGTCTGAACTGCCCTGGGTGTGGAGTGGAAGGTCATGGCCTGCAGGGGTCTGGGTGAGATGTGCCTCCTCCCACTCCTGGTCAGCCTGCCCCTCCCCCTGGGCCCGACAATCCTCATTTTACTTTCAGACTGGATGCCGCTTCTTACATGGCCTCTTGGCCCAAGGCTGCTGAGTCTGAGCACCCAGACACTAAGGATGTCCCCAGGCTAAGCCACAGCTCTGAGGCTTCCCAACAGCAGCTCAGCAGGGATGGGAAGGAAAAGCTTTTCTCCCTGTGTGAACTGTGTCCCTCTGGCCTCAGGGCTAGCACAGGCTGAGCAGCCCTCCTGCCCTGCCCCTGGTTTGTGTTTGATGCTGCTTTACAAGCTGCATTACAGAGGGACAGCCTGTTCCTAGCCTCAGACTAAAGATGCCCCTCCTGGCTCCCTACTGAGCAGCGAAGGGCTCTGGAATCACCATTCTGGGTCCCCAAAGCCCAGCTCTGCCATTTACCAACTGGGTGACTGGTCAGTTTCCTCATGTATGTGATGCAACCCAATAGAGGTATTGTGGGGATTGAGAACATGGCCATAAAATACTTAAATCCCACTCACAGAAGTGCCAGGTTACCAGATAAAATACAAGACACATCTGGTTACACTCAAATTCTGGATAAAATATTTTTTAGTTTATGTACCAAATATTGCATGGGAAAAACTTATTCTAAAAATTGTATCTGAAACCCAGGTTTAGCTGGGTACCTTTTCCTCCTAAATCTAGCACTTCTGCACAGAGTGGGACCCAGAGGTCCAGGAGCCTTCCCACTCCCCGGCTCCACGACAGCATCTGCGCCCCTCCCTGCGCCGACACAGCAGGCTTCTGTAGTGGGCAACTCTCCCTCCTCTGTGCCTGCCAGAAAGCTGGCTCTCTGTGGTGCTTTGACCCAATCCCAGATCTACTGTACTTGCCTTGGGACTTGGAACAATCTCTTTCTGGCCCTTCCTCTTCCTTGATTTCCCTCCTTCCAGGAGGACTGGGCATCCTCACTGGCTGTCCAGGAGCAGACACATGACTCACAGAGAATCAGCATGGTGGTAAGTACTTATCAACAGCCTAGAGGTACAAATTACAATTATCCCCATTTTACAGATGAGGAAACAGACTTGGAGAAGGGTGTCCCAAGTGGGTGATGTCTCCCTCCCTCCTCCTTATTCTAGTTCCTTCCTTTGTCCTTCAGTGGTTGGGCAGAGCCAGAATTCAGACATCGGGGCTGTCTGGTGGCACCAATTTATCACAGCCATGCTCAATTCTCCTTGTCCACGCTGACCTCCCAGTAGGAGCCGGCACTTAGTTCACCCCCTTCCCTACTTCCTATCTTACCCCATAGATACTTTGCTGAGTTTGTAATATGAGGCCACAATGCTGACCACTAGGCAGCCAAGATCCTAATCCCTGGGCTGGGTGAACCCCATTTCTGAACTGAGAAAAAAATTTTCTGCGGCTTCCCAGACTAGGCACATGAACAATATTTGCAAGAAACTATTTTAAAGAATTTGGTGTAAATGAACCAAGCCTCAAGTTTTTCCAGAGGGTGTGACACTTACTTGAGTGTTCCGTTTTTTCCAGAGCCAATTTTTCCAAGTGTAATTTCTTCACTCGGTTTTGGTCTCTGAGACAAAAGCCAGAATCAGGGTGCTCTGTCCTCCCGTTGATGGGACCTTGGGGTCTAGCTGCAGCTCTGCTCACGACCGATGCGACAGCCTTGGCTGCCTCTGCCGGCTTTCGTTGGGCAGGTCAGATGCCAGCATCTGTCCACCCAGTGCCTAAGATGCTGTGAGGACAAATGAGGTCACTAATGGCAAACGTACACAAAACACTAGCCCCATATACCGGACTAACAGTACTATTCTGCCCCTATATGGGCAGTTAGTATCTACTGGGACAGGGTTTCAGATAAAGAATGAAACCAAGACTGTTTACTACTTACTCTGCGTAAGTTATTATTCTACCCAGGGGGATACCCTAAGTCTTTTTTTTTTTTTTTTGGAGACAGGTCTTGCTGTCTCTTTGGCTAGAATGCAGTGGTGAATACAGTGGCATCATCGTAGCTCACTGTAACCACAAACTTCTGGGCTCAAGTGATCCTCCTTCTTCCTGCCTCAACCTCCCCAGTAGCTGGGACTACAGGCACACACCACCTTGCTCAGCTAATTTTTCTACTTTCTTTGTAGTGATGGGGTTTTACTGTTTATTGCTCAGGCTGGTCTCAAACTCCTGGCTTCAAGCAATCCTCCCACCTTGGCTTTCCAAAATGTTAGAATTACAGACATGAGCCGCTATACCTGGCCTGTGTTGATTAGAGATCTAAAAAGCCTGTAATAATACATCCCTTAGGCCTTCCTAACAATGCCCCATCCATCCTTCAGGTCATATGCGCATCTTTTGGTTCCTAGCAGGAACCAACAAGGTTAGGCTGGGTCTCCCTCTCAGTCTTAAGTGAGGGGTCAACACCTTCCCGCGCCAGCCTCATTGATAACTTTTCTGATGCAGCCCTTTTGGAGTTAAGAAGCCGTACTTTCAAAGCTAAGGCCCGCAATGTTCTGAAAAAGCCTTGGGAACCCCAGCTACCCTGGTGTTTCTGTGGTTTATGAGCCTGCTCCAAACCACAGAAGTCCAGTCCCCCATCAGTCTTGGCTGTGTGATGTGAGGTGGGACATCTGGCATGGGGCTAAGTGGCACTGGGGAGGCACCAGCTGGGAGTGCTCAGGCACTGGGTCTAGGCAGCAGGATACTGTACTGCCAACCCCCTCTATGTGTGTTCTGACTAGGGTGCCCAGCAGGGTCAGGCACCTTGGAAAGACAGCGGATCGACTGCTAGTGTGCACAGGATGCACACATAAAATGGCCAGGCAACAGGAGACACCCACATGCTACTGAATTCCTCAAATACAAATGTGACTTTTACATTCCTTTTTTTTTTTTTTCTTTTAAATTCAGGATCAAGACCACAGACAATTTATTATGGAAGACATGGAGTGAAGAATGATCAAGGAAAGTTATGGCTGTGAGTGACATGGAATTAGATGAAAAGGCTCAAGTTTGCTGAAGAGAGTTTAGATTTGGCTTTTGCTCTTGGAAACGTCAAAATAATCATAAGCAGCACTTATGCCTTACAGAGCAAATAATCCACAGAGTGTCATTTTCATTTTGCAAACAGGGTCACAACAGCAGTCAAATAGAAGCCTAAATACCCAGAGAATTAACATACAGATTCGATAAGATATAACAAGGGGTTGAGCATGCTGGTGGGTTTTTAAATCAGATCCACAATGAACCCTGTGACCTACTATAGGTTATAAGTGAAACCCGGGGAAAGCAGCTTTTTCATACAAAACAACAACAACAACACAACGACAACAAGGAGAACCAGACGCTGCTGGATGTCTATAATACTCATTTGCAGTAAGGCTTTCAAGATACAGGAATTTTTATAGCATTTGTATTTTAAGGATTTAGGGCAAATACATTTTTTTTCCTACTTGATAAAAAGAAAATTAGTACTTAAAAGGTTCAAAAATATATTGATTGAGTGATTTTTTTTTACATAAATAAATTATATTGATTTTTAGGATTTAATAGCTGAAAAAACCCTTTCTGCTTCCACTGGAGGCAAAACTGAACAAAATGTTAGTTAAATAGAGAGAGCAGCATTTCTAAGAAATCTGTTGCCAGCATTATAGACCATCTATGCTACAAAGATGTCATTAAATAGGATTTGTTCAACTATCAGATAATTTCTTCTTATATGATCAGTTATAGAATTTCTGGCTTATACCTCTGATTCATAAAACTGGGACTCACTTTTTAAAAATACATCTGATTGATTTTTTTTCGGTCACGATTTAACAGACTTCTTTGAGATGCTCATTTTAACATTTACATAATTTATAATCCCAAATGTATAAAAGACAATGACAAAAGCATCATAAATAAATAATGCAAAATGAAATAGTTATGTCAGACTTTTGGACCTTCTGATAAATTAGCAAAACTGTAACAGAAAAAGTAAAAATACAGTAAATTGTGACAACAAAAAGTGAAACTGGTACTAGTAACACTTGCACCATTTCCAACGGTCCTACGCAGCCCTGTGCCCCCAGACTACTGAACCATGAGCTTATTTCAAGTCTCAGCGTGTGAACTATCTGTGAAGACGACCATCAGAAGGGGTGTAGCGTGAGTGGGAAGGCGAACAAAATGGGGAAGCGCTGCTCAGCCAGGTTCTTCCCAGCTCAGTACCCAAACACGGAGAAGCTGAGGAAGAAAAAATAATGTTGACTTGCAACATGGTCTTGACTAACTGAGAATTTGGAATTTGGGTCCAACTGCCAGATATAAGCTGAACAAAGAAATAATGGAGAGAAGAAAATAACTTTTCACAGTTGTGTCCTAAAGGGTGGTGCACGTATTTTGGCAGCCTCAGATAGCCTTGATGAAACGACCCAGTTAGTGTCAAAGTGTTGAGTGACTATCTTTTTGCAGGCTCCAGAAAGAGCCTTATTCTTGGTGAAGAAAAGCATAAAACAAAAAGCCATCAGGTCCTGGTGTTCCTCAAACAGAGAGGCATGTTAGTGGCTAGAGAAATCTGTAGGCAAAGGTGAGCAGAGTGCTCCATGTGCTTGTGAGGCAGCGAGCAGCTCTACGGAGTGTGGGCCCTCGCCCCACCCATTGCTAGCAATACTCCAGGTGGGTAAAGCTTTCTCATGGCGAGAGTCATTTTCTAACTGGGGAGAGGGATGATAGGTATATATAAAATAATGCCTCGTCAGTCAGCATTTCTTCTTGCTGCAGGTGTCTGAAAAACCATGAAGGGGGAAATTATATTACTACCAGTAAGGGTTTTGTTTTCCACAAAGAAATGAATGTGTATTTTCAACCATTAGTTATATACTTCTGTCTATACTACTTAGTAATCATGATAAAATAGGGAAATATTTTAACTCAAAAATACGCACCAGCACTTCCTTTTCTGTGCTTTTTGGTTCCCCTGTCACATTCTTCCTATTCAATCCAGCTCATAGAAAAAAAGAGCTCCTCTTTGTCTCTGTTCTTCGACCCTTCAATGGTAAATTGCTAGACGGCTTTCTTTTGCCATTTTCCTCCTCAAATAAGTGGGAAACTAGGAAGAGAAGGGGGTAGGGCGTGTCACCAAGTACTGTATTAACTACGATTGCTGGAATGAACAACTGGATAACAGAATGAGAATTCTGTGCCTCCTAGACTAGGTAGACGACACTTATCTAATGAAGTGGTAAGACCCTGCAACTATTAACATCTGTTACCATAGTTCTCGGACAGGAAATTAGGTAGGTAATCTTATTTATGGAAACACAGGTTCTCATGAAGGTGAAGTGAGGGAGTAACAAACCTTTATGGGATAAGAAACTTACAAGTCACAATAATTTCTTAATGAAAAAAATTCTAATTGGTGTCGTTGGAGTCTTTGAGTGTCCCTTCCCCAGCCTGTGCCACAAGTTCTCTCTCTGGGGGCACCAGGGCACTGGATTCGGTGCAGTTCTGATCACTGCTTGGCTCCTTTTCACAACTGGGGGCAGGCTCTGGGTTGGGGTTCTGGTTGTCCCCTTTTGTTTTCTTCTTCTTCCGCTTCTGGCTCTCCAGACCTACGATTTCAGAGTGTCTGGACTGCTGCATGGCCGGAAGAGCCATGCCCATGCCAGGGGAGAGAAACATGGATGGGTAAATGAGTCCAGGAGACACTCCTGGGATGAGAAACGGGTTAAAAGCCACAGGACTACTAGCAGTTATTGCAGGTTCGGACTGATCAGAAAATGGACCTGGTCCAGGCTTGTCTTCAGCTAAAGTGTCTGTTTTCACATCATGGCTACTCGGCTTATCTTCTGAAGTCTTTTCTGTGGCTGCTGTACCACTTTTATTTGTGCTTGATAGAGACGCAGGAGCAGTGGAAGTGCAGGTGGTTGCCATGGGTGCATTGAGGAGGCCCCCAACACCGAACATCTGGGGCACAGTGGCCATGCCTGGCAGCATCATGGGCAGCATGCTCAGGGTGCTTTTGACCTCTTCGCCTGTTGGCATCGTGGCAAAGCCAGCCGGGAACCCGACCAGTCCGGTCAGGGGGATGCCTGGCATATTTCTCATGCTCTGAAGTCCTACCAGGTCCATCCCAGCAATCAGTCCATTCATGAACAGTGGCCCCATTCCGGAGGGAGAGTCTGCCACGATGGCAGGAGCTTTCAGGAGTTCACCCCGAGGCCGCCTCCCCCTTCTTCGGGGGCCTGCATCTCGAAGGACAGGCTCGGCCAGGGTATGATTGAACTTATTTTCTGGGAGAAACCCCTGAAAAAGGATAAAGAAATACAAGGTTACTGGATGGCAGGTGGTCAGCTGGGATGTTGACTGGGCTCTGCACTGGCCTTGCCTATCCCCAGCTCCATGAAGAGTCCCTGGTGGGAGGGGTGCCTCCCACCCACCGGCTCACACTTGTGCAGCTCTCTGGCCTACTTGTATCTGAAGCGCTTCTCCGAGAGCATTTGATGGCACGGGCACAACCAGGGTGCCTGTCACAACCAAGCAGTGCTCCCAACACTCTCACCAGCAAAACTGGCATGTAGCCTGTTTCGAAGCTGGCCCAGAGCTGGGAGCTAGAGACCGTTACTAAAGATGCCCCAGTCCCAGTTGAGACTCTATGGCTGCAACCCCTTGACCAATCCCAACATTTGCTTCCTCCTAACACAGGAAGGTTTTTTATTGAAATGACAAAGCAGAGCAAGGTTTTGAGCCAGACAGACCTGAGCTTACATCCCGACTCTGGACGCCCCTGGCTGTGAGGACAAGTTGGGTAATCTCTCAGAGTTTGGTGAAAACGACAATGGAACCCATCTTTCAGTCCCTGACAGCGTTCACTACATCACCAGGCCCACAGGAAGCAGTGCTTGCAAAAGGGGCACTGTTTGTTCACTGTGTATGCCCTATTCCCTCTGGATCCTGAACTCCTGGAGGGTGACCTATCTGAATGTAATGGGATGTATACACATTTGCTGAAGAAATGAAGGACACTCTAGAGGAACTGCCACCAAAATAACTGATGTTCTGGTTTCCCTTAAGGGAGACCATCTATTTTTCCTCTATTTGGAAGTTTAACCTACAATTGTCTTTTTGTGGTCAAGCCATTCTCCTGCTTCGGCCTCCAGAGAGCTGGGACTATAGGTGAGCACTACCATACTCAGCCCAATTTTCTTGATTGGCAAAGAGCTCCACAGTAAAGCACTTCTGCCCCGCATGGACTGCACCAGGATGGGGCCTGGGCTGCCAACAGTGCTGCGCACAAGTCATCTGGCCTTGTGCACTGGATACTTCCCCATCACCCATCAGGATGAAGGCCACACAAAGGAAGCAGATTGCTCTGAAAGCATCAGCGAGCAGGAGACAGCTCATGGAGAGGAGCACAGGCTGCAGCCACGCACGCTCCTTCCTTTGAGAATGCGGCTCAGGAGCTCTGCAGGACCATGCAGATGTGCCGTGTACCTGCTCTCTGGAGTGTCTGGTCTAACTGCACACAGACAAACAGACCATTGCAATTATGATGTATCTACCTCTGGATTTGTTTCAAAGATGTAAATCATCCTCATATAAAGAAAAAAATGTTTTCCTCACAGAAAGGGAGTAATTTTTCTTAGGACTCAGTGTCTGCAATTCCTAGGTTCCTAGATAACTACACACCTTTCTCTATTGCCCTCCACTCTTCACTATCATTAGTTAGCTTATCAAGTAATACACGTCCATGGTATTAAAAAAGGACACATTTTGCTTGTGCTGTTCAGCAGTCCCAGTGCGTTCCCCTACACAGCAAGAGTACTGTATGAAGAAAAAGCCCTCCCCTGTTGGTGCTGGGCCATCAGCTGCCCTTTCCAGCGTCTCCTTCTTATGGTTCCCAATACAAAGTCGGAGTTATCTCACCCCTCTTCCCTTTGATCACAGTAATGGTGAGGCTAAGATGTTCACGATGGCCTCAAGGGATCCTGTATCACTGGAACCCACTGAGGACACGGTTACTGTGAGGGCTGGAACGAGGAGCCTATATAGCAACACGAGGTGGGAGAGTTGCTGGTACGTCTCTATAAGCTGCATCTGATGCTTGCCAGAATTCTCTTCGGTGCAAATGCCTTCCCTTCCTGCAAGAGTCTGCAGTGAGTGGGGAGTGGGATCTGACAAGCAGCAGCTCCACCAGCCCACAGCCAGGGAGCCGGCTGCACTCCTCAACACAGCACACTCTTGGGGCGAGAAAGGAGATGCAGGTCTCACTGAGAGACACAAGAAAACCCCTCTTATGAAGGCCTAGAGCCCGAGAGAGTGTAGAGAGAGAAGTCAGGGAAGCTAAGGATGTAGAAGTGCTGAGAGACTGCTGACCAGGCCTGAGAGCAGTTAAGAATCTCTTTATAATCTTCCCAACGACACTACTTCTGAACTTTATTTCAGGTGCTGTGGCATTTCTCACTGGTTTCATCACCTCTCTTCTCTCCAAACTATTAAAAAATAAAAATCCTTAGAAAACCCACCAGGATTTTCATAGAAGGAGCAGTTGTAGGGTTAGTTGGTGGCACTAGTTTTAAGTTCTTATGAGCTGTGGGGCCATGTGTGAGGTGGGCCCCAAAATTAGCATCAGCTGGGCTGTGCCAGTCCCCACGGTGGTGGTGGTGCTGAGCAAGGGGATGGCAGTTCCAGACGGCATTGAGGGTGGTAGCAGGACCAGGACAGCTGCAGCAGAAATGCCAGCTACCGTGAAAGCAGCACTGACCATGTATCAGGTACTAAAGGCTCCATCAGCATTATCTCAACTAATCATGTGCATGTGAATGTTTCCCAGTCCCCAGAAATAGTTATTTTTTGAATTCTCATACCTATCCTTTACCTTCCCAAAAATATTTAAGAAAAACCAGTTCATCATAGATGAAAAGCTTTTTTTTTTTGAGACAGAGTCTTCTCACTCTGTTGCCCGGGCTGGAGTGCCATGGCATCAGCCTAGCTCACAGCAACCTCAAACTCCTGGGCTCTCAAGCGATCCTCCTGCCTCAGCCTCCCGAGTAGCTGGGACTACAGGCATGTGCCACCATGCCCAGCTAATTTTTTCTATGTATATTTTTAGTTGTCCAGCTAATTTCTTTCTATTTTTAGTAAAGACGGGGTCTCGTTCTTTGCTCAGGCTGGTCTTGAACTCCTAAGCTCAAACGATCCACCTGCTTCAGCCTCCCAGAGTGCCAGGATTACAGGCGTGAGCCACCACACCCTGCTAGGTGAAAAGCTTTATGATGGCAACTTTGTGGAGAAAATTTTTCTTGAAAAGCCTTGGTTTGTTAATAGTATCACAGAGCTGGAAGAAACCCCTGAACCTGCCATGTTTGGATGTTTGGTCCCCTTCCTTTTCACAAAGAGAGGGGCAGGGACCTCCCTGGGGGCACAGTTGATTAGGAACAGAGTAAGTGAGAACCCAGGCCCTGCAGCTCCCAGCCCAGGGCTCTTTCCACACCACACCCCTCCCTCCTTCCCAACACGACTAGCCACTTGCAATTTGCTAGGCTGGTTTGTACTGGAGTGTGCTGGGCAACTGCCCACTCTGGCTCTGGGATGGTCACTTGGGGAGTAATTCCTGGCTGGTTCCTATTTATTGGGGCCAGGCTAAAAGGACAATTTCTCACCAGTCTGTCCTGAGTTCATCAGTGCGAATCACCTCATTCAGGGCCAGTCACTCTGTCTACACTGAGCCGTCTCAGGCTCTCGCTGGCAGGCCACCTTGGCGCAGGGCCTGACCAGGGTAACCACAACTCGACCACAACCTAACCACAGGCCTTTCTGAGCCCTCTTCCTACAGCCCACCCACAACCAAGAGCCAGGCAAAGGTGCTGGGGAGTATCTTTTTCCTCCATACCCACAAATGTTCCCTAACTCTCCCGTGAGAGTTCCCTAACTCTCCCTAATTCTCCAGTGAGAGCGGCATATTCCATCTCAGAAGTTTTTCTGTTGGGAAAAAAATAAGCCCAGAGCTTGATGAATAATGCCTTCTTTTTATTTTCAAATGATCTGCTATAAGTCAGATCTCCTTTAACATGCTTTGAGTCCCTACACCCCCAACAGGACTCTGGCCTCCTTGGCCCTGCCCACCAAGCTTCAGTAGCATCTGGATGTTAAAAAGCATCCCTTCCCTGCCCTTGCTAAGAACCATGAGTGTTCTCAGCTGGCCTTCTTTTCCCTTAGGATCTAGAGAACAGCAGCAGAAAGGCCCCAGAGGTGAAGAGAACAGTTTGTCACCTACAGCAGAGCAAGAGGAATGCTGGCACAGGAAGTTGGCTTTAACCACTTCCTGTGGAAGAGAGCTGCTCCAACCACCAGCTGCTGCCCACCCCAGGCAGGTGCCCCTCCCAGCAGCTTGGCGACCACACACAGCGGCCATGGCGGGCTTTGGCAGCTCTCCCTCCTGGTAATTATACCCTGGGAGCAAATCTGCTTCCTCTTCCAGAGGCAGCCTGGGGAGAAGGCAAAGGAAGCAAGGAAATGAGACTCCTTGTGTTCAGGCAACATTGGAAGCAAATCTGCTTTTCTAGCTGATTATGTGGGTATTCCAGCCCAAGATGAATATCTTCATCAATACATGATAGAAGTTATCACAACTCTAAAATTTAACTCTTGGGTGGAGTTAAGAGAAGGTGGTTGACCACAGCTTCCTTTCTCCTCCCAGGAAGGTTGGTAGGTTCATCCAATAGATACTCACTAGGTAAGAGACCTAAAACCAAATACAATGTGTGGCTCCTCATTTACAAATCCTAAAACCAAACCAAAATAAAACAGAACAAAAATCAATGCTGAAAGACATTTTTGGGACAATTGGTAGAATCTGAATATGTACTAGATATTAGATACTATTGACATGCATATGTGATAATGGCAATAATTATGTAGGAAAATGTTCTTACGGGATGCACACTAAAGTACTTAGGAGTGATGTGTCATGTCTATAATTTACTGTCAAATTGTTTGGCTTAGCAAAAAACAAAACTATATACATATATGTGAAATAAATATATACATATATAACTTACACATATAAGCTATATTATATATGTGTATACATATATTTAATGAGCAACTACAGTGTACTGGGCATTCTAAAGTTGATCCCATAGCCTTATGTGCTGTGTTAGACTATGTCTGTGAACCCTGCCCAGCCAAACCACAACACATACAGCAGAAGGGCCTTGTGAGCTCAAAGGAAGAAAGGAAGAATTCCTTGTGGGATTTTTAGTCTAATTTCTAAAAGAAAGGGTAGGGTTTCTGCTATGGACTGGATGTTTGTGTGCCCTCAAATTAATATGTTGAAATCTTAACCCTAAGGTGATGATAATAGGATGTGGGGTTTTGGGGGGTGATTAGGTCATGGGGGCTGAGCCCTTATGAATAGGATTAGTGACCTTGTAAGAGCTTGGTCCTCCCATTCTTCATGTGAGGACATACTGAGAAGTTGGCTGTCTATGCAGAACAGGCCCTCTCCAAACACTGAATCTGCTGGCGCCTTGATCTTGGGCTTTCTGGTCTCCAGAGCTGTGAGAAGTAAATTTATGTTGTTTATAATCTTGCCAACCCCACTCCTCCAGTCTGCGGTATTCTGTTATGGCAGCTTGAATGGACTGAAAGGACGAGAAAGAAAAAGGGTACAGTACACCCTTGATGGCCAGCATCCCAGGAGGAGGTGTGGGAGACACACCAGCCACCCCTGTTGGGAGGCTGAGCAGCCCAGACCAGGCGCCCAAGTGCTTCCTGTTCTTTCCTTACTATAGGAAAAGAGCCTCCAAGGCAGGGAGAGTGTTTATTTAACAAAGGAGGGAAATGCATCTCTGGGAAGAGGCTGGCTTGCAAGAACTGCTTAGAAATGGGTTTTCTGGCAGGGGGTCAATGTCTGCAGGGGAGGGGTGAACATTAATTTCCAGGGAACATGAGGGAAATTGTTAGACATGGAGAAAGAAATGAGAAAGCCAAGGGGGAAACCATGTGGTTTCTTGGACATGTCTTTAAAGCAAGAGCTAAGACTACAACAAAGCAAGAAACAGAGGTCTTCCCTTGTCAAGACACTGTGTGCTGAGACAAAAGGAGAAGGTGGGAGGCGGTGATAGGGTGAGGAGACAGATGGGAGAAAAGAGAAGTTGAACCGGCTGTATTGCACAAGCAAGCCTAAAAAAAGGGTTGGAAGGGACATTTTCTGAGACTATTGCAAGAGAGAACAAAAAGGGCAGCTTTTCCAATATGACAAACTACCTAGGGCCCAGGTCCCCTGCAAAGGGCTGTGGTAGTGGATGGGGATGAAGACAGCCATTGTTTGTGGAGCTGCTAGATGAGCGATAATCCAGGTGACAAACTCAGTAACAAGTTCCTTGAGAACATTAAGTGCTAGCTTCTTTCTGCATGAGGAGGAAAACTAGGCCAGGAAGTCTTCTGGAGCTAAAAAAAGAAATCACATTCAGGCAATCACACCAAGAAGGGAATTCCTACTCAAGGAAAGCTGGGCAGTACTTAACAGAAGGTATTCAGGAAAGCTTGAGTTTATGGAACAACCTGGGAAGAGCAAATGTCCCTGTGAGGATCTTCAGATGCTCCCTGTTCTGACAGAATGTACTTGTAGGAGGTTAAGAGCACATTTATGTATAATTTGCCCAAGCTCAACACATGTTCAAGTTGGAATGTTATTACTGCCCCCTAGAGGTTATGCCTTTTCTAGTCCAAATTTGTACTCATCTGTAAACTATAATTAACTCAGATTCGTTATACTTGAAGTATTCTGCAGATGCCTTTGAAGTCCCTTCTAGTCTCATGATTCTAAAATAGGAAAAGGGCAGTGGTCAGAGTCAGCTGTTTTTCATTGCCAGTGAGGCTACACTAGGAAGAAATGTCTTAAATGGTAGCCAGAAAAACTTAGATTAGGAAATGAAAACTTCCAATAATGAGATTTGTTAAACACTGGAAATAGACTCCTGACAAGGGCTAAGGTTTCTTTTCTCTTGTAACTATAAACAGGAAAAAAAAAATAAAAGCTTTGGGAATGGTTCAACAAACAATTTTGGAGGTAAAGGTTGAAAACAAATGACCACTGGGAGTCTCACTGCATGTAAAATCGCTACAGTATCCCTTCTCAGTATTTATCAACTTCCTGTGTGGGCTTCTTGTCCTCCTGAAAGGTGTCACCCAGCTGGGGGCTTTCTCTCAAGTGTGCGAGGTGTGGCTCACCTGGGATGCTCCCCCTGGCCCCATGCTCACAGCCTTCTTCCTTACCCTCAGTTCTGGCTCCTTGGGGACGGCAGGAACCCCTTCTTCCCCACTCAGAGAGCTGATATCTAATTTTCCAGATTCTTTACAGCGCGGCCTCCTCTGCTTTGGTTTGTCTGAAAAATTCTAGGAGGCAAATGGAGACCAAAATTATAAAACATTCGTCATAGATTCTTCTGATAAGGGTGGTGCTTTGCAGCTGGTTTTGCTCTTTTTCTCATTAATGGCCCTCTGCACAGGACCTGGCCAGTTAGGATGAAGAAAATAGCCACTTGGCTCTCCCCTAGGCTTCCTCTCCTTGAAGCACCAGCGTTCCTGCATTCAGCTGGAAAACAGGCTGTGTGGGCCCCAGCCTTGCAGACTAGGACACCTGAGCCATTGGCCAGGTTCCCAGGACACAGCTAATCCCTAGTCACCTCCCTCTTATCATTTTCTCTGATTCTCCATCCACTGCTACTTGCCTGGCTGGTTCTGCCCGTCTTTGGAGGGTGTATATCTGTGAACATGTTCTCCTTTTCCTATGCACTTGCTACCTACATATCTTCTTGTAGTCAGGAGTACCCAGGACAAAGATGGTGGTGGGGTAAATGAGCAAGTGAGAAAAGAAAAACCAAGAAAAGATATCTGGTGTCCTCTGCTAAAAATTTCTAATCTGAGGGATTTAGGTCAAAACAGTAAGATGACTTGAAGGAAATGTCCCAAAGTAACAGCTGTAAAATTAAAAATGTCCATCCCTGCAATCACCAAATGTAGTAACATAATAACTTACTTTTCATCAAGTGGTAGAATTATGCAACCTAGGATTAGGAAATCTTACCTAAAGATTTCCCTGTGAACTTATGGTATTGTGTGGCAATTTTTGCACCAACAGGGCAAAAATTTTGCTGAACTTAGGCAAGTTCTGTCCTTTTAAGATCTTGCATGTCTACTTTCTGGCAGTGTTTTGACATGGTTGTCATTTCTATTACTGGAGAATTTAACTAAAATTTAAACAACAACAACAAAAAGCCCTTTAAAATGCTATTCTCAGTTGTACCGATTTCTCTCAAATAGCTCCCAACTTCCTGGTTTCCCCCAGCAAGCTTTTATCAAAAATAGCAACAAGTCAGCAGGAAGTAAATAGTGATCTCGGGCAGCACCAACAAACACTTACTGCCCCAAAGCTGGGAACTTCTAAGGAGTAGTCAGCCTGCTGCCTCAGCCAGTCAAGCAGACTCTTGCTGGGAATGGCTTTCTCGGCTTGGCTGCCGGCTGCTGCGGCTGGCTCAGGGACCGAGGTAGCAGGCCCTGGCCCTTCTGGGTGTGTGGTGCTCAAGGTGGCCTGCCCTGGGTCTTCATGAACTTCCTGGATGAAGGAAAAACAAGTATGTGTAGTTAGTCACGACAAAATAAAAACTACCTTCTACAAAGAAAACACATAAGGTGTTCCTTTAATCTTTCCATCTATTTCCACCCTAACATTACTCAGATGAGGTGCCTGAATGAGAATTCTACACGCACTGCTGACCTGGGCACGAGCTCTTGCACATGTTGAGCAATCCTGCCACCTGATGCTCCCCCCTACTTGTCTACTTAGCAAACATTAACCCCATGGTTAATGGTGCTTCTCCTTTGTCACTACCACCCACTGTCCCAGGCAATATTTGTCACTGCAGCTCCTGGTTCCCCACAGCACTTTGGTCACAGCTCTCTCATGTAACAGAAGATGCCATGCTGTAATTGACTCATCTACTCATCCTCTAGAGTTTGAGTGCCTGTCTTACTCAGCTCTGTATTACCAATGCCTATAGTGGAGCCTACCGATAAAATACAATGTCAGTGCTAAACAAGTGTCTGGGGGGGAGGGGTGATGGGCAATATATGTAACCTTAACATTTGTACTCCCGTAATATGCTGAAATAAAAAACAAAACAAAACAAAAAAACCCCAAGTGTCTGCATAAATAATTTTAAAAAGTAAAGCCAAGGGAAAAATATTTTTCTTTCAGTCATTTCATTAGAATTCTATGATCATTACAGAGAAACCATGCATTTGCACTTCTAAAAAACATAATAAACTTCTTAAAAGCTTGCAAGATTGGGCAAGGAAAGAACCTGCCACTTCAGTCCCCCAAATTATATAGAAAGTCTAAGAGGAAGACATATCCCAAACAATATGACTTAGTAGTAAAGCTCTCAGCACCTAGAGAACAAGGTCCTTGGTTTGGTTTCCTGCTCTGCCACTTACTAGCTGGATAATCTTGGGCAAATTATTTACTGCTTGAAAGCTTCAGTTTCCTCATCTATAAAATGGGAATAATAATAAAATCTATCTTCACAGGATTTTGTAGGAGCAAACAGGATAATCATAAAACCTTGAACACAGTGTGTGGCACACAGTAGGGACTCAATAAATACTAGCTATTATTATTCCTTTTAAAATACGAAGACAAAATGTGATTCCTGTTTTGGAGCTCAAAATCCAATAAATGGGAAAACCCCAAATACAACATTAAGCATTAAATAGTCTAAAGGGGATGCAGGTATACAGTTTAGTGATCTCCTTACTGTAGAGGCCTTTGCATGATCTCTGGGTAGGTGCTGCCACTGCACTTCACAGAGGAGCAAAGTGAGGCTCAATGTAGGCCCCACGTCGCCTAGTACGTCAGGCAACAGAGCAGGATCACCATTCAGGCAGCACCGGCTCCTGTTCCTTCTCCCCTTCTCCCATCCCCCAGGCCCTGGACAGCCTCACAACCCTGGGGAAATGCTGCTGCACACTCAACCCTACCACCCTGCTTTGCCTGTACAATCACCAGTGGCTCTTCTGAAATGATGGGGGATGGGTTGTTTCTATTCGAAATTTCGAGACCTCCTGGCTCATTTCTCCAGGCTGTAGGCAGATTCAGGGCCATTAATGGGTTAGTAACTACTGTTTCTAGAAAAGACTGAGGGTATCTTTTAATGAGAGAAAATAAAGCAGGAAAATTGAAATAGGGATAAAAGTCCCATAAACCAAAATATTTTGTGTCTGATGAGGAAGGGTTTGTTTCTCAGCATAGAAATGTCACTGTTTTTACTTAACGGCCCCATATACCCACCAAGATTCCTGCCTGAAGTGTTTGCTCCTTCAAGAAGATGAGATCCATCCCTCCTTCAACATGTTTCCGCCTTCCCCTCCGCCTCCTTGTGGCTGCATCATCTCTTCTAAGGCTTCCATTGACAATCTGTCCAGTCACTGGATGGATCAGGCCAGCTTGTAGAATTCCAGACAAATCCATGCCAAGGGCTCCTTGAAGTGAACCAATAGCCCCAATCTTAGGGGTGCTGGTGCTCACTGGGAAAGGGGATGTGGCTCCTGGGGACCCCTCTGACGAGCAGGAGAGGTCTATAGCTGACTCCCCATGCCAGCCATTGAGGACGATGGGGGGGTGCCCATGGGCAGCAGAGAACTGCTCCAGGCTGCGAGCCTTTGCATCCCTCTCCACCTCAAACTCATAGGGACGTCTGTGCTTCTGTTCATCCTTTGTGAATACTGGAGCTAAGAAACTCTCCTGTGAACACACAAGTGGCAACAGAGGTGTGAACGCCACTTTGGTGGCTGAATGTCAGCTCTATCTCCAGGACTGATTTCCCAGGGACTTGTATCATTTCCAATCATCTTTTTAGAAGTTCTTCTAATTTAAGCCTCCTCAAACTTTCATACCAAATCACCTGGACGGCTTATTAAAATACAGATTCTACTGCAGTGGGCCTGAGGAAGAGCCTAAGAGTATCCATTTTTAATAGGTTTCCAGGTGTTGCTAAAGCTACTAGTACATGAACTACACTTGGAGTTGCAAAATATAACCGAGAGATTCTCAATCTCACCTATACCTCAGATCGCCTGGGAAATTTTAAAAAATTCCAATACCCAGGCTGCAGCCCAGACCAATTAAATCAGAATCATTACCTTTTCAAGGTCCCTCTCCCTAACACGCAGTCCAGAGTAAGAACCAGTGGCTAAAAATGTACGTCAATAAAACCCACCACTTCCCAACAAAACACTCACTTCTGCCTTGATGTCCCTAATTTCTATCAGCCACCATTGTTTTCTCAGTTTGACAAGGATTGAACACAGGGATCCAGGTCATGCCTCTCTTTCCGTATATATTACTCATCGAGTCATCCTTGCCAAGTCCCCCCTTTCTTTGTATCCACCCTACCACTAACCTAGTGTCTACAACCTTCTCTGTTCATCAGTTTCCCGCTCTGCATACCACTCCAGCTGGGCTGCAAAACCCTGCTCTATCATGTGTTTTTCTGCTCCAAAACTTTTAATAGGTCTCTGCTGCCTGCAGAATAAAGTCTAAATTCCTTAGTGAACACTAATGGCTTGACAAAACCCCCTATCCATTCAGTAATGTTGAATGAATGAGCTCAACGGAGAAGTGGAAAGTGCCTCCCATTCTTTGTTTTGTGGTCAACATCATTCCTCCAGCCTCACCTTCTGGATTTGGGCTGCCAATGCCGTGCCATTGCTGAAGGTATGCTCTGCTGCTTCTGGCTCTGACAGGCTGTTCCGAGACGCAGCACTGCTGGTTAACACTGGGGTAGGCAGTGTGCCCAAGGGCTCGTACTGCTGGCTGGAGGGCCACTTCCCCTTTAACACTACGTGGCAGATATTATCTAGGCGGTTAATTATCACACGATCCTAGAAAAAAGGACAACAGCTCTGAGGAATAAGTGCCAAGTTATCCAAATTTACAAAGTCCCCCGAGATCAAGAGTCAAGTTTTCTCACCAGTATGAGCTGATTAGAAAAGAGCACATTCAAGCATGCTCACTTTATAGGCCTTAAAATAAAATTCACAGTTTTGGAAAATGAAAATTAAAGCCCTAGTGCTATAAGTATGTGAACAACTTGATACTTTCACCTTATGGTCTAATTTGTCAAGTGCATAGATCTTTAATGTCCAAATGTTACATAACTATACCTTTAAAAACAGTAAACATTTTTCTGGGTCCGTTGCTCAGAAACACTCTAAAAGTTAAAATAAAGGATTCAAAGCTGAGAATGCTTAAGAGGGAAAATGCAAGTTCTGGGTATACCTTTGGCCATTCAGAGAAGGAATAGAGGGTTTTCTCCTGCAGGAGTTGGGCAATGGTGGGAGCCCGAGCCTCCTGTAGGTCATCCCCAATGTCTCCTGCGATGCCTGATGTCGAGCTCTTGCTCTCCTCTTCAGAGTATTTCCCTGGATAATCTGGGAAGAGACAGTAGTCTGAGAGATCAGGACATCCAATTTGTCTTTCCTTTTTGCTTTTTTAATTAGCTCATAATTAGTTCACAAAACAAATGTGCTGATTTATTTCAAATTGAATACTAATTATTAATACCATACCCTCTATTTCTAGAATCATAAAGGCAAACCCTGCTCTGGGGCTATGATGACAAGTCCTCTAGTATGAGTGTGCACTCACACCCCAATAACAAAAAAGAAAAGAGAAAGGAGATTTTTCTCGTGTATCCAAGAGTAAGAGGAGATGAATGAGCACAAAGCAGCTTTCTATTTAGTACAGTGGAGAAGGGAAAGTTGCTTATACTTTAAAGGGACAGACTATGAAATATGAGACGTAACATAACAAGAGGGTGATATATATATATTTTTTTGGCAGAGTCTCACTCTGTTGCCAGGGCTAGAGTGCTGTGGCGTCAGCTTAGCTCACACAGCAACCTCACAATCCTGGGCTCAAACAATCCTTCTGCCTCAGCCTCCCGAGTAGCTGGGACTACAGGTACATGCCACCATGCCCGGCTAATTTTTTATATATATTTTTAGTTGGCCAATTAATTTGTTTCTATTTATAGTAGAGACAGGGTCTCGCTCTTGCTCAGGCTGGTTTTGAACTCCTGATCTTGAGTGATCCTCCTGCCTTGGCCTCCCAGAGTGCTAGGATTACAGGCGTGAGCCACCGCACCCTGCCCACAAGAGGGTGATATTAATGAGGATGAAAAGTCATGAAACTTAAAAAAAAAAGGAAAAGTAGACCTGATTCATGAAAAAAAAAAAGATGTAAAGAAATTTAGAACATTTCAATTACTTCACTGATGGAAAGAAATAGAAATACAACTCATTCTTTCAAGCCTCAGAAATGGTAAAAGTTTAGTATCAATGTTAAATGGATTTTCAAAGATCCACTTACACCTAGTAATAGCAAGGAGTGAACAGATGATAGTGAAATGCCCAAGGCAGGAAAAGGTATGGACTTCTTTCTCAATGAACTGACAAAGAATATCCTCTGAAATGTGAAAATTTCACTTTTGAACATGCAAAAAGTCTCCTAAAGAGCTGTAGAGACCCCTTACCATAATCAAGACCATGCTAGGCCCAGCAGACTCTGGATAAACAAGATAGATGTGGCCCTGGTCCTCAAGGTTCTTATACTCTCATGAGGGAAGACAGCAAGGAAAACAGTCACAATAAAGTAATAACTAAAATTATAAGCCTTGATAAATGCCATAAAGGGAAAGAAACAAGGTGCCATGATAGGGAATAGCAGGGAAGACCTACTCAGGTAGGCTGGTAGAGAGAGCCTCTTGAAGGAGGGAACACCCACGAAGAAGAGGAAGGGCTTTCTGGACATGCAGGAACTAAGCGTTGGCCAGGAACAAAGTACACAGATGAGGCTGGAGGAGTAGAAATTATCTAGATCATGCTGAGTCCCGTAGGCCACGATAGAAAATTGAATTTTATTCTAGATTCAATGGGGAGTATCACTGAGAGGTTTTAAACTGAGGAGTTTTAAGAAAAAGGAAAATGATGTGTGAGAGAAAACCCTGGGAAAAAAGCCAGGACACCTGGGGGCTGGTCCTGATCAGTGTATTAGTTAATTATTGCTCCTTTAGGACGCCAGATATATAGTCTCACAAGCAGGGCCAACCCTCCCTGCCCACCCATCCCATACTCATATGTATGGAGGATCCCTTTCAAGGTCTGCAAAAACACTTTTAAAAGCATCTGTGTAAGAAACTCCCACACACACATATGCATGATGCTCACTAAAGCTTATCAGAGTCACTGCTGCCCTCATCCTCACTTAGCAAGACTGACACTGCCACAAAAAGATATCCATTCAGGAACATTTCTTCTCCTCTAAACCATGTTTACCTTTATCCTGAACTCATTTGATTGTCTGGGTTTCCAAGAACTTATTATTTGGTGATTTCCCTACAATAGGGTTCAAAAAGCAATGTGGGTTTTATAATTCAACACATGGCAGTGATCCTTTGTGGCCTGGAGTGAGATGGACTAGGCATGGTTATAGACTGGCTCCTTCTGGGTTGGTTGGGGCTACTAAGCTACTTTCTTATTTTTTTTTTCTTTTTCTGAGACAGGGTCTTACTCTGTTGCCTGGAAAAGAATGTAGTGGTGCGATCATAGCTCACTGTAACCTCAAACTCCTGGGCTCAAGTGATCCTCCTGTCCTCAACCTCCTGAGTAGCTGGGACTACAAGTATGCATCACCGTACTCGACTAATTTTTCTGTATTTAGTAGAGAAGGGATCTTACTGGGTGGCCCAGATTGGTCTCAAACCCCTGGCCTGAACAAATACTTCCTCCTCCTCAGCCTCCCAAAATGCTAGGATTGCAGGCATGAGCCACTACACCTGGCAAACTACTTTCAAGTCAGCTTCTTGGTCCTTATCTTAGCTAGTGTATAAATTTTCATTTGGGTTTAGAATCCTTCCCAAGTTAGTCCATAATCACAATGACTAAAACCAAGAAGGGGGAAGTTTAAAAATAAAGAGAAGCTAGATAACTCAAGGGAGCTTAGCTTAGTTTCTCTCTTTTTTCCTCTTTAACGTAAAATCACTGCCCCAGAAAGGAGAGGCTGTGCCTCTCCACACCCCTGAGTACTATACCCAACAGTGGACCATGAACAGAGTTGTTTTTTGGTTTTATTTTTATTATTATTTTTTATTTTTTTGCTACAAAAGCTGTAGAATTTGGTTTTCTCTGACAATGACAAGGACAAATGGAACTATTTTTGTTTATCCTAATATGCCCTCTTGAAGCTAACAAATACAAACAACAGGTAAAACTCATTAGTTGCTGTTGATCAGGATGCCTAATCATTGTATATATATTTTTATTAACATTTTGAAATTCCTTCTAACTTAAACCCTTGTCTAAGATTTCCCTATTTAAAAAGATCAAATCTATTTATTTTTTGTTGTAAACTCTGTTATTTCTGTTTCTACTGAGTTAATGAAAGGAAACTTTTTTTTTTTTGAAACGGGGGTCTCCCTCTTGCTCAGGCTGGTCTTGAATTCCTGAGCCTCAGCCTCCCAGAGTGCTAGGATTAGAGGCGTGAGCCACCACGCCCAGCCTGAAAGGAATCTAAACCAAATGCAATGACATTCAACACAGGGTTTTGATGATGACTTGACAAGCGGAGCTTTATTTTTGCTCACCTTAACGAAGATCGAATTTATATGTATTTTGTTGAGTTCCTGGAAAATTAACTGCACATATATTAAATTGCAGGATCTTGAAGGCAGTTCTACTTTTAACCATTTTGAAGAACCTTACCGAGTGGAAGAACAAACTACTTCCCCTTGATACTCAGCATCTACCACATATAGGCACACAAGCTCCTGCCCAAATCACATGGTTGATGCAGCAAAGGTGCCGTGATCGTCTACAATCATCCTCAATCTTCTAGAATGATCACAGTTAATAAGCTACTCTGTCTCATCTTCATACCAAGGCCTCTGACCTTTGGCTTTAAACACATGGTGAGGGTAGGTAGGTCTGTTTCAGAAGGTGTAAAACTACTGAACACCCCTCTCCCCAAGCTCCCTGTCATGTGAGAACTGGTTTATCCAGAACGCCGTAAGATTCTACATACTGTACCTGGAATATGGCAGTTTCCATCTCTATCATAATCATCTTTATTCTCAAAATCCATGTCTTCTGATTTGAGCTCACTTCCTTCAAGAAGATATGTAGGGAAACCTTTTCTCTCCTCTGCACTTTCTTTCCAAGGTTCTTTTAAAAGCTCATGCTTCACTGGGAATGGTTCCGATGGAATAGCGGTGGGCTCCCCCTCCACGGTGATATTATTGGTTTTGCTTTTGTACAGGTCTGGGTTATAAGCCTCGGGTTTCTCCATTTCAAATTCATCATTCTCGAGGCCATGTGTCCACCTTTCCATGTGTTTACAGTGACACTGACAGGCTGCGGGAGGGAAAGCCCTCTGAGGCCCAGGAGTCTGGTTCACCACCTCCAGGTCTCCTTTCTTGGCTGCATTTACATGGAACCCTCGGCTCTTTTCCCTTGGGATGTTAGTAGTGGGCTCGGTGAGATGCAATACCTCTGGCCTTTCCCTCATGCCTGTTGTCACAGCTAAGTTTTCCTCCTCATTTTCTTCCTCTTCCTCCTCCTCATCACTATGGTTCTCACTCAAAATCAATTTACTTTCTAAGCTTTTGTTTTCTAATAAATCAATTAATTGCTGATCTGCTGACAGGTTTCTTTTAGTGTCACAGACACTAAGATTGCACATATCTACAAATCCACTTTCGCTTCCTGGATCCAGGGAAGGGGAAGCTAAACACTTGGTTTCTAGCTGCCCGATGCATTCAGGTCTTGGCCCTGCCACATTGCAGCAGAACTCTCCTTCCTCTGAAGTGGACATCAACAAATGTTTTCCATTTTTAATGTTCACTTGAGCTACTCTAGCTTCTAAGCTACTTAAAAAAGAGGGACCTAAAGCTACTTCTGCCTCTTGGCCACCAGACTGACAATTCCCATCTTGGCTTGCTGAGTTGGCAGCAGCATCTCTTCTGGCTTCTGTACTGGTACTTGGGCTCTCCTGGAAAGAGTCTGGTTCTTGGCTGAGCACCTTCTTACTATACATCACATTCTCCAAGGACTCAGGCAGCAGACTTTCATCATGGTTGATGGAAATGACATCCTGAACTTTAGAAATCAAATTTTCACAAGTCACATCAGGCAGACTGAGATGATCATCTCTGCTTTCTATTTTCATTAGATTCTCAGGTTCATTTTCAAGGGACTCTGAAGTCCTACTCATTTGAGTATATGTAAGAGATTCATATAATTTAGAGTTGGTTTGGTAAAGGCAACAGAGACTTCCTGGTGCCTGAGTGTCAGATCTTTTATGCTGGGCATAGTTTCTGTAGGCATCCAGGAAGGACAGCTGAGGGTCGTTCATAATGTAACAATCAGTGCGGTTCAGCCCATGTTTGGCGGTGCCAATGAGCAAATCTCGATCATGCTTCCCACACTCCCACCAAACTGGGAGGTAGAGGCTAGGCCTGCACAGCTGGAGGCGTTCATGCAGCTGAGGACACTTGAGCACTTGCTCTCGGACCTTCCGTAATAATTCAATGCGGTACAGAGTTCTTGCAGCCCGTTCCTCAGTGATGGGTTCAATGTAGATGGTGGCATCTGGGGGACCTGGACAGAAAGGGAAACACAGAGCCTATTACTTAAAGTGGCCCTTGGACACTCCCTGTGTCCTGAGCCCCTGCTTATTTAGTCTTATAGTTTAACTCCCTGGCTCCTTAGCAGGGCAGTTTTAGGTGTGTGGACCCTTGCTAAAATGGGAAGCTAAAGAGAATGGAGTGTTTTTATGAGACAAGAACACATCCAGGGAGAGTGAAAGAAGAGCATAAAAGCTCCAGTCCTGGAAATAATATTAGTTTCCTTTAAATAGGCATATACTATGTGGCCTCTATACTAGGCACTTCATATATGTTATTTAGTTCTCACAAAAATCCTACCATTTACCATAATCATGCCTGTTTCAAGGATGAGGAAAAAGGCTCAGATAAGCTACCTTGATCAAGATGGCAGAACCAGGATTTAAATCCAGGTCTTGTCAATGTGACCCTGAGGTCCATATCTTTCCAACATAGCCAGCTCCCTGGCCTGAATAAAAACACTTTAACCATGTCACATGGGGATGGAGAGGAAAAGGCTAAAATGTCTGTGCATGTTGTCATCAGCCTGGAACCTACCCTGGAGAGGCTCAATGTTTACTTTAGCTTTCCTAAAATATGGTCACATAGTCTAGAGCAAGTTTATCTAAAAATACGAGGCTGAAGAGAGACTGGAAAGAAGCTGTTACAAATGCCAACTAAGAACAGATTTCTCAAGAGGGCTCTCTATTAGATCAGAAGATATTTAAATGACATCCATTTATGTTCTATAGTTATAAGACAACATTTAGAGTCATTAAGATTTAATCTAAGGAAAGCACAAAGTTCAGAGTAGGATATATCTCAATGTTGACTTTTAAAAAAACTTTACTTTGGAAAAAATAGTTAATAGTAGTCTCTCAATATGTCTTTGAAGTTTTAATCTGAATTTCCACATTCATTGGAGTTACATCATTTTGGGAGAGATATTTTATTTTAAGAGAGTAGACCCAATTAGAAGTTCATGAATTTCTAAAAACCTATTTGTCTTTACCTAAATTCCTCATATAGACTCTACCTTTATAGTTGTACCAAAAGTAATTATGCAATTTGAAAATCAGCATGTTCTTTCCTTGTTCATCTGACAATATACTGACAAAGAGAAAGAGTTTTCTTACCACCATCTTTCCATGCAGGTAGACGACAAACATTCCGGCACATAGCCACAAAACTATAAAAATAGTGTTCCAGGCTCTCGTCTGACTTCTTGTCCAAACGGGATATGATACGGAACTGTGTCCAGTCAAAAGTTTTCTTTTCTTGATCATAAACGACACCAAAGGAAGACACTGTTCTATAGAAGTCTGCTTGTTCTCTCCTAGTCCACCTTGAGATTTAATCAGAAAGGGAGAGTGAGCTGTTTTTTCTTTTTTAAGAAAAGCCAATAACTACTTACTGAATGCCAACTGTGAGAGCCCATGAAGTCAACAAAGTAGGTAGAACTGGTTTGACTATCTTATTGTTTATTTTTAATGAAGTTAAATTGGGCTGAGAGGCTTATAATGAAAACAGCCTATCATCCTATTCCCAAAGAGGTAACCACTTTCAAATTTTCAGCTCGCTCTTCTGGTATTTACCTGCCTATTTCTAAACCATGTGTGTATACTTGATATCTCTTGGCTAATTTTAGGAATTATCTAGTTAACTTCTACTTGTAGAAGATAAAGACTTTTAAGATACTATATATGCTTAAATATCTTGCTTTATTTTTTCCCCCCTGTATGACAACAGAGTCAGAGAATCTTGGAGAGAGCAGTTTAGACCATTACATTCATCCTCCTAATCTTACAGATGAAGAAACTGGTGCGGAAAAGGAAAGCGACTAATTCAGTGCACACATCCTGACTCCCCATCTCACACTGGCTTTCTTCCTGATTTTATGTAGATGGGCTGCCCACATCAACGATCTTCTCTGGGACACAAAGGTCCTCTAGTCTCTACATCCACAGAACTAAGTTAATGACTTAAAGGAGGTGGATAATTCTATACCACCATAGTCTTTATGAGGGGCTCCTGGGCATGGTACACTCCACCCCAGGGGGAGTCCACCTAGGAATGGAAAGTGGGGTGAGGGGTCAGTGGAAGAATAAGAAGCAGGGAAGATGGGGCTCTGGTTCTTCTCTTTGGAGCTGTGCAAGGTGGGAGAAATAAATACTTTCCCTGAATTACCAAATTTCGTAAAGTCAGAAAGAGTATGGAGAAGTAATTAAATTTGCTACGTAGTCTTCTTTCAATTTACTGGATGTTTCATCAGAAGGAAAGAGAGTTATAATGACTCAAAGAATTGTGGTTTCGTTGATATTTTCTGGTGGCATCATTCCCAGCCTGTGCTGGCCTTCTCTAAGTATTTTTTAGCTTAATTCTCAGATAGACAAGTAACTCCTGGTAATTTGCACCTTCCTTCTGGGCTTGCATTTTATGGTATTTATTGCTTTCAAAGGCTTGTAAGGACTTGTAGCTATAGTAAGACAGCTTCATTGTACACTATTCCCTTTGTTACTAAAAGAATTAGGGGGTCTAATATATTCCAGGGTGGCGTTTCTAAACCATATATCCCCAAAGACTGGGGTCTTAGAGATGAGTGTCAAGTTGGAAAATCATAAAAGTCTGGGAATTGCAATAGAAGGTGTCCTAAACCTCATCAGAATCGCATCACCATGACAATACCGTCACAGGTGAAGGTTAATCTAATACATTCTGGAGACAACCTAACTTCACATGAGAAGAGAATACACTTGCCCTCCACTAGCTATCTGCTTTACCTTTGTCACCTTTACCCAGTGGGCAACTCAACATGTCCCTTTGGCCGTTGGCTTTTACCTCTTTTGAGCTTCTTTGTTGATGAGGTCCATTTCTGAGGTTCTCCTGAACATCTCTTCCTGAACCCAGTATCCTTGGTTACCTGGTCCCAGAATTTCAGGTCGGCAGAGTTCCTTTCGGTTGCAGCGCTGGTAAATAGTGACCAGACGTCTGAGACGAGCTGTGAGAGCAGATGACACTGGCCAGGGTGATTTGTCTGGGTCGGAGCCATCCTGGGCTTCAAACATCAGTGAGGATATTAGTATTTACAAATAGAACTAAAACAGGGGTAATTGTTTTTTGGTTTTAAATAAAAGCAAAGCTGACTCAATAAATTAATCAAAGTAGTTACTGTTTTGACAACTGATTGGCCCAGGAGGTAGGCACTGCTAGAAGGGCTGCAATTTTGCTTTAGAAACAGCTTTATGTTGTGACTGACTCTGCTGTCTCTCAAACACAGAGGTACCTTTCTATGGGGACAGAACTGATTTGAGGACCTTGTTCTACAGCACAGGAGTACACAAAACTTTGTTGCCTTCTCCATATAGAACTATGGGCTGTTGTGTAGCTGGTCCTTTCAACTGCCAAAGCCTCAAGTGTGAATTCGGAAAATACAAAACCAAAAAAGCCAAACCAAAGCAAACCAAACCCCAAAACATTTCTCAAACAAAACAAAACAAAAAACCCAAAATCAACGAAATCACAATTCCTTTTTCCCCTCTCATACCCTATCCTAACTTAAGACAGTAACATTTATTTCACTTTTGAATTTCAATGCCAAGTAGAGAAAGCCAGAGCCATGTTAAAGCTCCACGTGTGACTCCAGGGGAGTTTGACGAAGGTCAATTTACTTGGCTTTTTTTTTTTTTTCGACATATGATGGGGGTACAGATTTTAAGGTTTCAATAAATGCCCTTTCCCCCCTCCCCCCACAAGTCTGAGTCTCCAGCATGACCATCCTCCAGACGGTGCACGTCTCACTCATTATGTATGTATATACCCACCCCCCGCCCCCCTGCCCAATACCCTATTACTGTAGTACCTATGTGTCCACTTAGGTGCTGCTCATTTAATACCAGTTTGCTGGTGAGTATATGTGGTTCTTGTTTCCTTACTTGGCTTTTTAAAAGAGCTTCCTTAGAAAACAGCATTTTGATTACATATAAACTCCAGGATAACAACAAACTGGGACTTTACTTTTATTTGCCTTCAGAAGGATACAGTTCTCACCTGCCCGGCTGTCATCCTTCTTTTCACCAAAAATGCCATCACCTCCGTCACTGGAGCTCTCCTAGGGATAAATGAAGCCATCCCATCAGCAAATCTGGATCTCAGAAGAAACCGCCTCAGAGAGCCCCAATACAGAAGGAGTAAGCATGAATAAGAGACACACTCTACCCATGAGCATCTCAAAGGTCAAGACAGGACCTGATAAATCAAGTTTAAAAGAGCCAGAAAGCAGTTTATTTAAAATAAGTACCCCCAAACCCCCAACCATGTAGAATGCTTCTGGCTATAGAGAAGTAGCTTAAGGAATGATGAACTGGCATGCTCTCCCTGGCAATTACATTTTACAAGTACTATTTCAGTTGTGAATTTAAATATTTGCTTCACCATAATCACTGGCAATTTAATACTGTCATTTCAAAAAGGTTGTGCCTGCATTTTTGTTTTTTTGCTGTGAAAAAGTGTCACCCTTATGTTCATTATGGTTAGCTAACTTCACAGTAACAGACACTATTTTCATAAAACATGATTGCTTCAGACATGAGACCTGATGGCGCAAAACCCCAGGAATTTAAAATTAAAATCACGACGAGCTCTAAGTGAATCTGGGATAATATCACAGGCACAGAGCTTGTCTAAGTTGGCACATTTGTCAAATTGGCCTAATGGATTCCTTCCTAAACCCCACCTTGGTCTCAGAAATGGAACTTTAAAAACTCCTTATATATAATACAGATAGGAGTTTGAGGGTGGGAAAAGAGTGTGCTATTTTTCAACTGGACTCCATTTTTAACACTAAAACTTAACATTTTTTGACTAGCATCTTTTGATCTGAATGATGGTACAAAACAACCTCAGTATTCAAGCTTTTGCCATGTTAGAGCACAGGGTCAGAGAGAAAAGGGGTCAGCAAACTGCGGCCTGCAGACTGTTTTGGTGTGCCCCTTGAGCTAAGAATGGTTCTTATATTTTTAAAGGGTGGAAAAAAAGGGAAAAATATGAGACAGAGACTGTATATGGCCCTTAAGCTCATGCTATTTACTATCTGGTCCTTTACAGAAAAATGTTGCTGTCCCCTGGACTGGAATGCACAGCACAGGAGACCAACAACCCTAGATGCACTAGGAATGGGTAGGCACCTAGGACTGCTAATAGTTAAAATGCAGAACACTCTCTTGGTCTCCTGATACAATAGAAAGACCAAAAAGAATAAACTCTGAGAAGATAAAGAGGAACAGGAGCACATTTTCTAAATGTATGTCTCTCTTAGGTAGAACAGTGATAATAGCTAATATTGCCGTGAACTCTGTAAGTATTGCCTAAAATACCCCTACCTGGTTTATCTTATTTAGTTATCAGAACTATCTCATGAAGTAAAAGCTATCATTGTCTTCATTTTACAGATGCAGAAAAAACGAGCCCTAGAAAAGTTCAGTAATTTGCCCTAGGTCACAAGGCTAGCAAGTGGCAGAGTTGGGATTCAAACACAGGTGGTCTGATTTGAGAGCCAACACTCAACCACCAAGCTATCTAAAGGAGTATAACTAGAGAAGTCTTAGATGAAGGTTTTTTTTTTTTTAATTTTTTGAGACAGAGTCTCACTCTGCTGCCCAGGCTAGAGTGCTGTGGTGTCGGCCTCGCTCACAGCAACCTCAAACTCCTGGGCTCAAGCAATTCTTCTGCCTCAGCCTCCCGAGTAGCTGGGGACTACAGGCATGCGCCCACCATGCCCAGCTAATTTTTTCTATATATTTTCAGTTGGCCAATTAATTTCTTTCTATTTTTAGTAGAGACAGGGTTCTCATTCTTACTCAGGCTGGTTTTGAACTCCTGACCTTGAGCATTCCTCTTGCCTTGGCCTCCCAGAGTGCTAGGATTACAGGTGTGAGCCAATGTACCTGGCCGATGAAAGTTTACTTTAGAGAGTAAAAACAGATTTAGAAGTGGGGTACTCCCTTCCTTGGGCCAGAACTGTCTTCTGCCATCTCCTGTAGATGAAGAGTGGAAACCTAGGGCTGATCTATTGTACTATTTACAAATGGCATTTAAATACACCATCTCATCCTGTCCTACTATTTAGGTAGTTAAAAAATAAACAAAAAACAACCTACTATGCGTTATATACTTTCCTGCCAGGAAGAACCTTTTTGAACATTCCCATGGTATTTGTGAAGGTCCTTGAGTGCTACAATTACAAGTATAGACACTCCCAGCTGAGAAATGCTCTATAGACTAGGAAACATGGGCAGCAGCCCCCAGAGCTACCATCCTCCTTATTTCAATGTACTGGTTACTGATGAGGGCATCATCATGACCTAAATCTATAATGGATGTTCCCAGCTTGATGTGCGGCAAGCACATAGCAATGAAGGTTTTCCTTCCAGTCTACCCAGCAGTTTCTCCCAGTGCAAGTCAGTAAACATGAATAGCTTTAAGTAAAACTCTCAAGTAAGAAAAGTTTTTGGTACTAGAAATGTGTTTTTCTATATCCTGTCCTTTCTTGGAGGTTTGTCCTCTCTCTAGAAATGACAGAATAAAGACGACCTAGTTTGTCAGTAACTAAAGTGAACAATATGTCAGAATTTTAGTTAATAACCAATTTAATGTAAAAGTGTGTAATGTGCTGTAGCAGAGAGAGTTCTGGGCACACAGAAGGACCTGCATCTGAACTGTGCAGTCTAACATTTACCACCTCAACTTCTGCTTACATGAATTGATTTGAAAGAAATGTTCATCTTAGAAGAGGTATGAATCAATCATTTCACAGTGAAAGGCCCAGACAGTGCCGACAACAAGAATGTCAACAACAAAGAACACTGATTGGTTATAATAAGCAATTTCACCATCTTGAGAACACATGTGGTTTGGAGTCCAATAGTCCACTGCTTTCTGGCCTTGGGTAAGTAAGTTGTTTTAATCTCTGTCAAGCTCATTTCTTCTTTTGCAAAATTGAGACAATACCTACTTTGTAGGGTGATTGTGGGACACAATGAGTAGATGTATGTAAAGTGCTTAAGCAAATGCTGGCACAGAGCAAATGCCCATCAAAGGATAACTCGGACTGAGAAAATATTGACAAACTGTCCCTACTACTGGATACTCAATATTTCTATCTTTCAACTACAGCGCATGTGCTAACAACAAAGGGCTACTGAGCCCCATGTCAGCTTCCAGATACTGTATTGAGTATTCTAAATGTTATTTTATAAGCATTTAAAAAATGTATTCATTGTAATAACTCATTTTAGACAGAAGGAAACTGTGGAATGAGGAGGTTAAGAATGTTGTCCAAGATGACACACAGTTATTAAGTAGAAAAGATGGAATTTGAACACAGGAGGTCTGACTTCAGAGGATGAACCACTGTGTAGTATTGCTTCTGGTGGCTAGAAGAACACCAGGCTGACTGAGAAGGACTGTCAGCAGCTAACACTGAGGGTGTGGGGCTCTGTTTCCTTATCTGAAAATAGAAGGTCTGATCTCCCTTGTTTGTGGCTGCTCCTTTTAGACTTGCTGCCTCCTCCATCTGGTCTTGGTGTGGGCAAGCTGGTAGCAGTGGCAGTACCTACTAGGTAGGACCTGCAGACACAGGAAATTTCTTCTATACTCTTACAAAACCCTTGAGACAATGCGACAGGCAATGAGCTGTCTTATCTCATTTAGCCAAACAATGAGTATCTCTTAAGTATCAGAAACTAAGCTAGGTTCCAGGGTTACAATAGTGAAAAAAATGGAATCTTCATCCTTCTGGAGTCCAACCTGGTGGTTATGAGAGACACATAAATAAATGGTGGCCACAAAGCATGATAAGTGCTCTTAAACACAGCAGGAAACAAGAGTCTCCAACTCCGCCAGACCCAAATTGGGTAGGGGGAACTCATGCAAGAGGTGACCTTTGAATACTGAAGGACACACAGGAGTTTGCCAGGAGGAGAACACAGGGCTCTCTGTTCAGGTAACAGGATGTACAAAGGCAGAGCAAAGACCTCAGAACCCACAGTGGTTTTCATTTTATGGAAAATCAAGCATCCTACTCTTGCATAAGCTTCATGTAGAATATAGGTATACATCCAACGCCATTAACATAAAATTCAAGGATTTTATTATTGAAAGATCATAAGATTTAGAAAAAGATGTATGCAGGGGAGACACTGCTCTTGTGTCCCCTGGCAGTAAGACTTTTTTTGCAGCTGACTGAAACTATTTGAGCTTTCTCCTCTCTACGATGGAGATAAGAATGATGCCTAACTGAAGGGGAAATGTACTTTGTAAATGTGTGAGTATTGTACACACAAATATTAGTATTTCAGTTCAGAGAAGCCTCAAACTCTTAACTCACCAAGAAGAGTGTTTGCTCAGTCCCTAACTATTCTTACAATGGAATTTGGCCATTATAGGCACTAAATTTCCCTGCAAGTTCTTTCTGATCTGTGTGACTTCATCTTTCTATGCACAGACCTTGTACTTCAGAGAACACCTGGGACACAGCGCAGTTACCTGCAGTAGGAACTGTAGCACAGCATGGACAAGGCATGCTTATCACCACAGCGTTACATTAAGGCAAGTTGTGCCATTTCTCATTACTATTTCTGTTAAAAGAAATGTTATTCTCTCTACATACTAGGTTTGATACAGAAAGATTTTGTTTATAATTCTAGGCTCCAAACCATTTTAAACCCAAATAAACTTTTAGCTAGCTGCTTTAGAAGGTCTCTGTAGGTTCACTGAATCCAATTGCATCTGAAATCTACTAATACAATCATTTTCCAATCAAAAGTGGTATTGATATTAAAACAGAGAGAGGTAGGGGAAGGAATAGATTAGATCATCTCAAATGTCCCTCCCAACTCCAACATTCTACGATTCTCTGAATGACACATTTTAAGAGGACAACAAAAAGTACAGTGTGCTCTGACAGGCACCAGAGAAGTGAGGGGTCTGGAGGGGAATTTCTCCTGAAAAGAGATTTACGGAGATTAAGGTCACTAGCCAGCTTCAATAATTTAAAATCTTATCAGAGGCTGCTATACTCTAGTCCAACAATTCAGAAAAGTCTGTGGCTTACTCAACTCACGCCAGCAAAGGCTGAGTGGGAGCCGGAGCCTAGATTTCTACCTTCTCCAGATGGTAACAGAGTACCCCATTCCTCTGTGGAGTGGTATCAGAAAAAGCTAAGTAGGGAGCCAGAACTTTCATTTCTGACAGACAGTAATGAGGTCCCCGATTCCTAGCCATGATGCCAGCAAAGACCAAGTGGGGAGCTGAACTTCCATCTCTGCCCAACAGTAAGGAGAAACATCTCCTTCAGGTGTTACAGGAGCAGATTGGGAACATGAACTTCTGCTCCCTTCTCACAGAAACAAAGCCCCCCCATCCCTATTCCCTGCCAAAAGAGGTGTCAGAAGAAGTTAGTTAAAACGAGGTTTAGTAAGATCCAATCTCACAATATAATACTCAAAATGTCCAGATTCCAGTAAAAAATTACTTATACCAAGAACCAGGAAGATCTCAGTGAATGAAAAAAGATAAAAGATGCCAATATTGACATGACAGATCTTAGAATTACCTGATCTAAGAATTTAAAGCAGTCATCAACGGACCATTTTGAATGTTTGCCACAAAACAGAAAAACTGAAGTACTCAGCAAAGAAACAAAGATTCTTCTTCCAAAGAAGAACCAAAGGGTAATTTTAGATTTGAAAAATACAATAAGCTGGAAAAAAAAAAACAAGAACCAAAAAAATCCCTCAACAGAGCCAGCACAGTGGCTCATGCCTGTAATCCTAGCACTGTGGAAAGCCGTGGTGGAAGGATTGCTGGAGGTCAGGAGTTCAAGACCAGCCTGAACTACATAGCAAGAAGCTGTCTCTATAAAAAATTTAAAAAACAGCAGCATGGTGGTAAGCATCTATATTCCCAGCTACTTGGGAGGCTGAGGCAGGAGAACTGCTTGAGCCAGGAGTTTGAGATTGTAGTGAACTACGATAACAATATGCTCTAGCCCAGGCAATAGAGTGATACCCTGTTTCCCTTCCACCCACCCACCCCAAAAATTCAATCACAAATGTTCCTTATGAAAACAAAACAAAACAACAAAACAAAAGCAAACAAAAAACCCCATCAAAGGACAGGTTCAACAACAGAATGGAGGAGGAAAATAATCGGTGATCTTGAAGACAGAATAATAGAAAGTATTCAATGTGACTAACACACACAGAAATAGATTAGAAAAAATAATTGAACAGAGCCTCAGAGACCTGAGACTGTAACAAAAGATTTAATATTCATTTCATCTACATCCTGGAAGAGGGTGGTACAGGAAAATGACTTAAGAAATAATGACTGAAAATGCCCCCAAGTTAGCAAAAGACATAACCCTACAGATTCAAGAAGCTAAGTGAATTCCAAACAGGCTAAACTCAAAGAAATCTGAACACACAAAAATATCTGAAAACTAAAGACAAAGAAAAAATCTTGAAGGCAGCGAGAGAGAAAAGGCACCTTACCTATAGGGAAAAAACAACATGAATGACAGTGGATTTCTCACCAGAAACCATGGAGACCAGAAGGAAGTGTCACATTTTTCAAGAGCTGAAAGAAAAAGAACCATCAACCCAGAATCCTATGTCTGGTGAAAATACACTTTAGGGATGAAGGGGATATTAAGACATTCTCAGATGAAGAAAAACTATGAGAACTGTCACCACCAGATCTACCCTAAAAGGATCACCAAAAAAGGATGACTAAAAGAATTTCTCTAAATTGAAAGAAAACAATAAAAGAAGAAACCCTGGAACAACAGGAAGAAGAAAGAACATGATAAACAAAAATATGGGTAAATATAGCAGACTTTCCTCCTCCTCTTGAGTTTTCTAAATTATGCTTTATAGTTGAAGCAAAAATTAACATTATCTGATATGGTTCTAAATATACATAGAATAAATATTTAAGAAAATTATTAAGTGGGGGAGACTAAAAGAACAAAAATGGAATTAAGGTTTCTACACTTTACTTGAGCGGTGAAATGATGCTGCTAGTGGACTGTGATACTTAACGTATATAACAAAACACCTAGAACCACTAAAACGCACAAAAAACAAGATAGATAACAAAAAAAAATCTTGAGGATCTATAGCTAGGCAGAGTTCTTAGACTTGACACCACAAGCATGATCCATAAAAGCAGAAGTTTATAAGTGGGACTTCACAACATAAGAACCTTTTGCTCTGTGAAAGACAATGTGAATGGGATAAAAAGACAAACTACAGGGTGGGAGAAAATATTTGCAAACCACATGTCTGATGAAAGATGATTATTCGGAGTATACAAAGAACCCAAAAAAATCAACAGTAAAACAATGACATTAGAATATGGGCAAGGGACATAAAAAAACATTTCACTGAAGAAGATATACAGATGGCAATTAAGCACACAAAAAGACGTTCAACATTATTAGCCATTAAGGAAATGCAAATTAAAACCGCAATGGGGTACTATTACACACATACCAGAATGGCTCAACTGAGTAACAGTGACAACACCAAATAGTGGTAAGGATGTAGGACACAGAGAAAGCAGACCACTCATACATTGCTAGTGGGAATGTAAAGTGGTACAGGCATTCTGGAAAACAGTTTGGCAGTTTCTTAAAAAATCAAATATGTAACTACCATATGATCCAGTAATTACCGTTCTGGGCATTTATCCCAGAGAAATGAAAGTGTACTTTCACACAGAAATCTATATACAAATCTTTATCATAGAGGACTTATTCACAACAGCCCCCAAACGGAAACAACCCAGATGCCAGTGGATGAATGGTTAAACAAACTGTGGTTCAACCATCCCAAGAATACTATTCGGCAATAAGAAGGAATGAACTACTGATACTGACAACAACCTGAATGAATCCCCAGGGAATCATGCTCAGTGAAAAAAGCCAATCTCCAAAGGATACGTGCTGTACGATTACATTTACAGAACATTCTTAAAATGACAAAATCATAAAAAAACAAAGAACACATTAGTGGTTGTCGGGTAAAGGCAGAAGAAAGTGGATATGGTTATAAGACAGTGACATGATGGATCTTTGTGCTCATGAAAACATCCTGTATTTTGACTCCATCAGTGTTAGTCCCTGTTTGTGATACTGTACTATAATTTTGCAAGATGTCACTATGGGAGTGGGGGAACTGGATAAAGATACATGTGATCTCTCTGTATCATATTTTACAACTGTAACTGAAATCCACAGTTTTCTCAAAACTAAAAGTTTAATTAGAATAAAAATGCAATGCACCCTGTATGTTTGAAATTTTCATAATAAAATGCTGGGGAAAATGTAGTACAACTGCCACAATGCAATGAAGGTCCCCAAGACCACTGCCAAGATGGGGATTTCTCTTTTGATATGAAAGACCATGTGGTAAATACAGCACATGTGACTTACCGTTTGTTTCTGGAGACCATCTAATTTGTCCTCAGCATTGTCTTCTTTATCTGTGTTGCCTCTAAATAAACGTAAAAAAAGCATTACATACTACTCAACAGTTACAGCAGTGCTCCCACCCACCGACCCAACCCATGGTTTTGCTTTCCTCAGTTTGTTACCCTGGTCAACTATGACCCGAAAACATTAAGAAATTCTGGGAGAGAGAGAGACCAATATTCTGGCAAGTTTTATTACAATATATTGTTACAACTTTCTATCTTATTATTAGCTACCATTGTTAATCTCTTATTGTGCCTAATTTATAAGGGTTTGGTACTATAAGGTTTCAGGTATACACTGGGGGTCGTAGAATGTATTCCCCATGGATAAATGGAGACTACTGAGCCAGCTCTTTGTATCTGTGGGGGGACTGGTTCTAGAACCCCTGAGGACACCAATATCAGCAGATGCTCAGGTCACTTAGTTGGCCTTCCATATTTGAGGGTTCTGCATCTTTGGATATAGGAAGCCAATAGTAACTAGATCCCTTCCACTGCAGGCACTCAAAATCTTCATTTTTCCCTCCCTTCTGGGAAAACTCAAGAGATAATGAGAATGAGAGAAACTATCACCAAACAGTGTCATCTCTTCTACGCGCAAGGACCTATACTCAACTGACACTGTACGATGAGACTGCAGCCTCATGATCTACTCAGGCAAGTTCAGAGGCTGGCTACTGTAAGAAAAAAGGTAATTACTGCCCATCAAGAGTTATCTTAGTATGTGGCTATGATGAAAGGACAGACTTTTCTTTTTTGAGATGGAGTCCACCAAGGATAGAGTCCTGTGGTGTCAGCCTAGCTCACAGCAACCACAAACTCTAGGGCTCAAGCAATTCTCCTGCCTTAGCTTCCTGGGTAGCTGGGACTATAGGTGTGGGCTACCACGTCTGGCTAATTTTTAGATGGGGTCTCACTCTTGCTCAGGCTGGTCTTGAACACCTGACTTCAAGCGATCCTCCAGCCTCGGCCTCCCAGAGTGCTAGGATTACAGGAGTGAGCCATTGTGCCCAGCCAAAAGGACAGACTCTTGAGACTAAAGGCTTCACAAATCATAGGCCTATTGTCCCAAACCCTAGACCACAGTAGGAAGAGTCTTCCCATAGAATCACTTACATTTAAAAGTCACTTCCTTTAAAGGGAACTCCTCTGCCACTGCTGAGAAGGGAAGGGCATTTTGCCCTAGTTACCATCAGACCCTTACAGCTTCCTACCTTCTCTCTTGTGAGCTTAAGTACTGCTGATGCCTATCAGTTTTTCATGATTCCTTTTAAAATTGACTTGGAGGATGGGCACGGTGGCTCATGTCTATAATCTTAGCACTCTGGGAGAACGAGGCAGGAGGTTCACCTGAGCTCAAGAGTTTGAGACCAGCCTGAGCAAGAGCAAGACCCCTTTCTACTAAAAATAGAAAAATTAGCCAGGCCTCATGGCTTGCACCTGTAATCCCAGTTATTTGGGAGGCTGAGGCAGGAGAATTGCTGAGTTTGAGGTTGCAGTGAGCTATGATGATACCACTATACTCTAACCTGGGCAACAGAGCAAGACTGTCTCAAAAAACTGACTTTGAAATATTCTTGTCCTTGCTGTTCAAGTCCCAGAGGCAGGAAAATTTCCTACCTTCATTGTTTAATCATAGAAAGCAAGCAACCCCACAAAAATATAAGCTTTATGTCACATTCAGGTACCTCATCCAGAGAGTGTTTTCCTTGAACCAGTGAATCTAACATTAGGATAACCAGTCATTTGGGCCTTTGATAACATCTCCCAGAATGCATCTTTATTATCTGTCTACAGGAAACACTTTTAGGGCAGCCAAAGTTTTCATCAGGGGTTAAAGACAGATGGAAAATGCATTTCACACTTTATTCTTAGTCTGAGTGGATGGTTAGTAGGGGCTCCTGTCTGTGCCACCTGCTTAGGCCTGGCCACAATGTAAAATCCTATTTGCTACTTTTGGAGAGAAGATCAAACTAAAAGCTTACCAAACATAAGCTTAAGAGATAAATGCTATCTTTAAAAATATATACATATTTTGGAGAACTATACTTTTTAGCTGTTGATTTAGCTTTCCTGTGAATTTATACATTTTGGGGTTATGCCACTAAATAAAACTTAGGCAAATGGCATGCTTCTATACTTTTTTGGTACATGATCCATGGACAGGCTGAAATGCCACGGCTGTCAAGTAGTAGCCCCTAAATCCACCTTATTCATCGATCATGAAATCCTTAAATAATACTAGAATTTCATCTGGTGAAATTCAAAGTCAGGAAGCGTGGACTTGAGTCTCTTTTTAGCTTTCTGCTAGGTATGAGAGGTCTGAATTCTTCCCTGAGAATCCTCTGACCAGACAAGACACAGGCCTGGTTAAAAAGTTGGGCAGGATGGTGAGCAGCCTGAGGAACTCATGAAGAACAGGAAATGGTATTTGATTCAAAGTGCTTAGAAGTCAAAGAACAGGTCTGAGGCACAGTAAGGTATAACCAAAGTAGCAATTCTGGAAGGCAGTGGCAGTGCAGCAAGGCTTAAGGGAGATGCCAGACATTAAGGAAGAGATATGAATAGTGCTGAATGCATGTGAAAGGGGCCACAGATTAGTGGCAAGGCATGTCACATCAGGGTTCACCCACATGGCTTCTTACCTTTCAGGAATGTCCGAGGTCCCATCTGCAACACCCTGTTCTGCAGAAAGGGACTTCTCATCTGGCATCCCGACTTTTTCCAGGAAGCAAAGTGCTGGGTCTGCTCGCATGGCATTGTACCTCTCATAACCTGATCAAAAGTAATGAGAAATGTCAGCAGTCACGTCAGAACTCACAACATCTGTCTTGGGCCTTAGACACTCATTTTGTTTCTCTTATTAAGTAAAAATCAATCAATCAATCAATCAATCAAATAGAAACACACACACAAAATACTTTAAGATTAACCAGCTCCCATATATAAGATTTCCTATCAGGGAAAAATCCTGGAGCCAAAGCAGATCACCTTTGAGTAGTGTATGACCAAAAAATGAAAGCTTATAGAAAAGATACAAGGTAGAGCTAATACAACGCTCACCTGTTTGCTGCTTTCCAACAGCAAATGGAATCAGAAAAGTTGTTTTTGCAACTTCTTCCCCTACCCCTTCAACTATGAACATCTTGTTATGTTTTGAATGGGGCTTTTTCCTTTTCTTTTTTTGAGACAGAGTCTCGCTTTGTTGCCCAGGCTAGAGTGAGTGCCGTGGCATCAGCGTAGCTCATAGCAACCTCAAACTTCTGGGCTCAGGTGATCCTCCTGCCTCAGCCTCCTGAGTAGCTGGGACTACAGGCATGTGCCACCATGCCTGGCTAATTTTTTCTGTATATATTAGTTGGCCAATTAATTTCTTTCTATTTATAGTAGAGATGGGGTCTCGCTCTTGCTCAGGCTGGTTTTGAACTCCTGACCTCGAGCAATCCACCTGCCTCGGCCTCCCAGAGTGCTAGGATTACAGGTGTGAGCCACTGTGCCCGGCCGGGGCTTTTTTATTATAGTTCATTTTTATCCCATGTGTTACAAAGGAAAGCTGAACAAAATGATGGATGCCAGGGCTGAAATATGGACCTACCACCTCTGTAGTCACAAACTCAGTATGGAATCCTAATCCACACAGGCCAGGGCCATGAATCTGCTCTTTACCACATCCCAAAGTCAATAACATAGAGAGTACCTGACCCAATAAAGGGACCTCAAAAGGGTGGCAAAACAATGAAAAACAAGTCACTTTTATTTTTATTTGTTTATTTTTTTGAGACAGAGTCTTACTCTGTTGCCCAGGGCTAGAGTGCTGTGGTGTCAGCCTACCTCACTGCAACCTCAAACTCCTGGGCTCAGGCGATCCTCCTGCCTCAGCCTCCCAAGTAGCTGGGACTACAGGCATGTGCCACCATGCCCGGCTAAGTTTTTCTCTATATTTTTAGTTGGCCAATTAATTTCTTTCTATTTATAGTAGAGATGGGGTCTCGCTCTTGCTCAGGCTGGTTTTGAACTTCTGCCCTTGAACAATCCCCCCACCTCAGCCTTCCAGAGTGCTAGGATTATAGGCATGAGCCACCATGCCAGGCCAAAAAGTCACCTTTAATTGAAAAAAGTCCATGCATGAGAATTTGTTATTATTTTTGAACTTAATGTAATCTTACAATGAGATAGGATTTGGCCACATAAAAGACTGGACTCCACCATCATTGGGGAACTCCTTCACAATCATCAAAACCCTTTCAATGTTGCTCCTAGCAAACAATGTCAATCTAGAGAAAGACCCAATCACAGGTGATGGAAGAGCTGAACATAAAAGAGAACCAGCCTGGTTTACAGAACAAACCTGATTTTACTTTCTTGGGTCTTTAATTTCTATCTTGGATCTTACTCTCATATCACTGTTGATGCAGTCTTATCCTTCATGCTGTAGAGAGTCCCTGGTACTTTTTCTCCAAGGAGCTAGCTGTGTGTGGGACTCCATTTTTTAATCCACAGTGACTCTCCTGCCATCTTCACAACAGATGCTGCCACATGAGGCATATAGCATGAGAAACCACATTGCCTCAGGTTCTCTAGTCATTTATTCCTTAGGGCAATTACTTGATTACTGTAAGTCCCTCTTATGAGACTGTCCATTCCCTAGGAACAGAACCTTTATCTATTTTTGCTCATCATTACATGTTCAGTACCTAGCAAAGGGCCTGACACTATATATACTCAACAGTTGACTGGATGAGTAAGGTCTGCCCGCGTTCTCTCTTCTGATTATCACTGTAGGAAGAACTTCTTTTACCCTCTCCCAAGGTTCCTGCCTTAGCTCACATCAAAAAGAATTTCCCCAATATTCTTGTTGTTTTAAGGAGATCCCTGCCATTATCTCTTATCTGCTCATACTTGTGAAAAGATGGGTAACTTCTGGAAGGTAAGATGATAAAAATCTCCCTTTACTACTGTATTGAGGGGGAGATTAACTGTTTGGGATCCTTCATGTGCCTGCCCACAGAGTAGAAAGTTTCTCTTGTCATGTATGGATTTGAAGTCTAGAGACAGATTCTGCATTTCTATTACTTAATTAGCTATGAAGGTGGAGGCAAGGAAGAGTGAATGATTCAAGTTTCCTAAAAAACCCCAACAACTGTCCTGAAAAGAGACCAGTAGGAGCTGTAATAGCAACACAAAGACATAAACAGCAACATGACAGGCCTTGAGAGGTGTGAGCTGCCTGCCTCTTTTCACTTAGTCTATAGACTCCTAAGAATAGGAACAAAAATACTAAAATTCCTGTCTTGAAAAATATGTCACGAACCCAGCTTCATGTGGAGGGACAGTAGTCACTCAACACAACTGAGAGCTGTCAAAACCATCATTCAGTATAGGTCTGCCACAGGGGCCTTCTTGTTGCAGGCTCAATCCCCAACCAAAGGCTCAGCTAATGCTAATAGGGTCAGCTTGGAGATGGAACTATGGCTATATGCTTCTCATTTAACAGGACTGTAGCAGGCCGTGTCTGGGGTGGCCTAAAAGATTCACCAAACCTTAGTCAATGAACAGTTGTGTGTTTCTTAACAAAGGGTATGATTGCAATACTACAGTTCATACTTTAAGGCATGGAGGAAAGGCTGAAAGGGCTTCTTGATACACCATCCCTGAAGAATGAACGCCAGATTGGCTTTTCGAAAATGGCTGAATATCACATCTTCACCAGCTGCTGGGTACCTGGGAATCTGATTGTCACTGGGTAACACGAGTTGTGTGGATTGGTTACGATGTGATGAGGGCTGAGGTTACATAGGGGTGGTCAGGTGCTACCCAGATGAGGACAGAGCTAAGCCCATGCTTGTGGAACGTCTGAGGGGCAGCACAGAGCCAGGGGAAGGGTCTGATTTGGACTCTAGAAGGTGTCAAAGAGGATGGGTCCATGAGGCACTTGAGCAACCTACTCTAGGCTGACTCCAGTGTAACCATCCACCTGAAGTGATCTGGTCCATCCAGAGTCTGCATGGATGGCTTAAGACCAGTCCAGCAGCACTGAGTACCCAGGTTAGCCTTTTCCCTTCTTTAAAGCATATCTGCCAAATTCACCCTGTACCATAAGGAGGCACTTTAGGCATTACACAAATCACCTTCCTGGGTATTCACCTCAATGGGCAATCTGTGAGAATTTGAATGGAATGGGTGAGGCATTATCTTAAGGTCTCACAGGTGTGCTCAGGAAACACAGATTAACTTATACCCCCCTAAAACAGCTTCATAGAGCAGAAGAGTTTTAGGTGTGGCAGTGACCTTATGCATCATCTGGGTTGACTCTGCTATTTATAATATGACACTAAGAGATCAACTGATTAACCCCAACACACTAAACCTTAATTAGGAATTAGAAACTAGTGGGTAAAGTACCAATATCAAATTGCCTTTTCTAGGAGAGAAGAGGTCTTAGGCATCCACAGATTCTTGTCCTTTTTTTACATATTTTGAGGCTGTGTCATTCACCAGAGGATTGTTACATCTTCCTGGTGAATTACACCTATCATCACTGTCCAACTACCCTTCTTCTCCCAAAATATGCTTTTTGCCTTAACAACTTTTTTTTTTTTTTTTTTTTTTTGAGACAGAGTCTCACTTTGTTGTCCAGGCTAGAGTGAGTGCCGTGGCGTCAGCCTAGCTCACAGCAACCTCAAACTCCTGGGCTCGAGTGATCCTTCTGCCTCAGCCTCCCGGGTAGCTGGGACTACAGGCATGTGCCACCATGCCCGGCTAATTTTTTATATATATATCAGTTGGCCAATTAATTTCTTTCTATTTATAGTAGAGACGGGGTCTCGCTCTTGCTCAGGCTGGTTTCGAACTCCTGACCTTGAGCAATCCGCCCGCCTCGGCCTCCCAAGAGCTAGGATTACAGGCGTGAGCCACAGCGCCCGGCCCTTAACAACTTTTTGTGTGATATTGATTTTGCCATACCAGATTGCTGTTGTATTTGCCAGGCATGTCTTGTTTTACCATTTCAGTATCAACTTCAACTTTTTCTTCCATGTTTCATCTCTTTCACATCTCCATCTCCTTATCTCTAGGGGATATGTTCCTCCAGCTTTGCTTTCCTGGGCCAGAGAGCTTTTTCTTGCTTCTATTTCCTGGAGGGGCAACCCTTCCAAAGCCATGTTTCCTATCTACGTTGGGTATTAAAGACTCAGTCCCTCTGGTCCACTGTCATATTAGCCCCCAAGCTTTCAGTTCTGGCTTTAAGTGACCTCTGCATTTGGGGGTTTTCTCTTATTTCTTTCAAGCCCAAATTTACCCCAGCTTCCTATACATCTGTGGTGGGTGTGTTGGGGTGGGGGAGGAAGTAGAGGAAGCTTGTAAATTATGTCTGCCATACTGCTGGAACTTTAGGTGTCCTCGTTTCACATCACATTGTCCCCATACAGAGATTTGGCAATGTGTCTTAAAACTACCACTGAAATGAGACCCAGGGTCACTAGGCTTTTCCATATATACAAAGTTCAGATGTTCTGGAATCTGGCTGGCTGCCTCTAGCAGCCTGTTGTCTTCTGGGTTCTTTCCAAAATTAGGTTAAACCAAGTCTAGGTTGCACTGTGGTACCTGTGATTAACAGTCAGAAAACACATATCTTTCCACTTTGGAACTGAGCTTTAGCCCTGCACTGTCCAACAAAGAAGCCACTAGCCACATGTAGCTATTTAAATTTAAATTAATTAAAATTATATAAAATTAAAAATAGTTGCTCAGTTATACCAGTCACATTTCAAATGCTCGATAGCCACACATGGCTAGTGGTTTCCATAGTGGACAGTGCAGAATTAGGGCATTTCCATCATTGCATGCAGTTCTACTGGACAGCACTGCTCTAGCTTAATCCCAGCGGTTTGACAAAGAGTTCTCAGCAGCACTGCACCTCTGAAACTTGCATTCTTAACACTAGAATCCAAGTTTGGTGGGGAGTCCACATTAAAACATGTATAGGCATGGTTGTTACTTAAATGTAGCTGGTTACCCAGTAAAAGTTGAAGAATTCTCTTATAAAGTAGGTATTAGAAAGTTAACAACATTCCAGAGGCAGAGTAATATGAGGGAGTAGAAAAGCACTAAGCACCTATTATGTACCAAACGCCATCCTAGGTGGTCTTATTTAATCTCCAAACAACCCTCTGGGTAGGGTGTTTTGACACTACCTCCTCCTCCACCATACAGGTGAGGAAATAGACCAGGGAAGCTATGACTTGCCAACTCTGTGACAGAGTTGACAGCTAAACGCAGGTTTACCTAACTCTTTCCATTTTAAATCCTGCTACCCAGTTTAAAATTTCTGTTGATTCACCTGGCAGGGAAGGTGTGTATCAGGCATATTATGGGCAACTATCACTTTCATGATTCATTTTAACAATTGGCAGTTCACTGAAAGCAACGGCAGGTGCTTAAAACAGTGAGAGAAGTGAAGGGGCACTTCCTTCAATTTTTCCAAGCTATTCAAAAACCTCTTAGTCCTCTTTAGTCTCTTGGTTACCACATTAAAAAAAAGTTTGTCCATGCCATCTTCTATGCTTAGATTTTTAAGCCAATGGGCAAAAGATACACACTAGGAATATGCTGATTATCTAGAAAAACTTTAGAATTCTGCATACATATGAAATGCTAAAACCTGGCATTTCCCACCATTTATTTATTCTTTACTCAAAAAACACTGGGTGCCTACTATGTGTCAGACACTACGGCAGACACTGGGACTCTAAGAATTAATTAGAGGTAGTCCCAGCCCCGACAATGGTAGACAGGAAAGTGAGGAAGACACACACCAAACAAGTTCTTTGTGGCTATAGTTGCCCTTTTGAAGTTCCTCAACAATAAAATATTCACAGTATTACCATAAGCCACATATTCATCTGGTCGAAATTCCCAGAAGAATCTACCATATAAGAAGGATGTGTAGTGGGACTACAGCGTTTTGCAGGAAAACGCCAAGCTTAGTCAAAGAGTGCCTTGGGGGGAAGTGGGGAAACTGATCCAGAACAGAAAACATTCACTGAAAATACACACCATGCTTGAAGACGCCAATGAGAAGGGACTTATCAGCCTCAGCATCCCACCAATCCACTGGAATTTCCATGTAGTCAATGTCAGGCAGAGGCACATCCAGCTCCCTACGGAAGGAAGGGAGTAGACTCAAGAGTTCCTTCAACACAGACACAAAACAAAAGCTACTGGCCCATCCCTGGTATTAAGTCACATTCCTAGTTGCATGCTGAGATGCTGAAGTAACAAAAAACAGATAATTCAGAGGGCTGTGGGCCAATGTTTCTCAACCAGGGCTTTGCATGAGAAACACTTCAGGAGTGATTTAAGCATATGCACTTATTTCCAGGCTCCACCTTAGACTGACTGACACGGAGTCTTGAAGCACCACTTGTAGGATTCATTGCCAGATGGTGTAGGGTGGGACCTTGGGATCTATATGTATACGGTAGATCTGATGTGCATCTTTACTTGAGAAACACAGCAAAAGCCATCAATATATTGGTCATCTGAAGGCAGAACTTCCCCCAAGAGACTGAATCATAGATGACTGAATGTCTAAAATAGCACCCAGATCATCTTGGCTCAATATGTAGCCTCAACACACAGGGATCTCAAACACTATTTGAGAACAAGATAGCCTGCACTGGTATAATCAGGAAATAAAGAGGGCCTTGCCTACTCGACCATCTGGGTAACTGGTCCTGGGCAGGGTGGGAACATGGGCCTCCTGAAGCACAGGGAAGTTTAGCTAGCTCCTCGAACAGGCACTTTATGTTAATTCTTTACCATTGAGAGGTAAGGCTGATTTGCTTTACCTGGCAGGAGTTCCTTCAAATGCTTTCTCAGCTGCTTCCCCCAGTATTTCAGCTTTTAGGTAGTACAGCATCCGGACTCGCAAAAGTACCCTATGAAAGGTGAACGCATTAATGTGAAAAAATTAAACTCATGAACTTAGTGATACGAAGCAATATGCAAGAAAGCAATATATGGAAATCTTTCCAAATATATTGGAAAGATTGGAAAGAAGTGTTACATCTCTGGTATACCACTTCTTACCTCAGCTGTCAATCAACTCAAATAATTTTGAGATTTTTTTTTTAAGCCCAGGGAATTAATAACTCTCTAATAATTTACAACCATTGCTGATCCTTAAACCTAGCTATGGTATGACAGGCTCCTTAGTAAAAACTGGAACAGAATGTCACAGTCCTGCCTGCTGAGATCTAGTGCAATCAGAGGAAGGTTTTCCTGATGATGTCAAATAGGGGAAGCTGTTTCCATTTCTCTAAAAAGAAAAGCAAATGTATTGGTGTTTGGCAATATCTGTAGCGTGAAAGAATAACATTTAAAGCCAATAGTATTCACTTTTCCTCTAAATGGGAAGCAAATCAATTCAGAGGACAGATGGACAACTCCTCACAGACAGCCACCTCCTCCCAGTTGGTGTCTGAACTCAAAGGGAAGTACAGCTGGTGCAGGTTTGTGACACCCCTGGTTTAGCCAAACAAAACAACTCACTAATATTTTGGGTGGTGGTATCTCTTTTTCTTTCTTTCTTTTAAAGACACATTATACTTCCACAAAGTGCACACTGCATAAATGCATAGCTTCATGAATTCCCACAAATGGAACACACATGTATATCCAGCATCTAGATCAGGAAGCAGAACTCTTCCCCTAAGTCCCTCTAGTATTCTCTTCCAGTCACTGCCCACCCCAACAGATAACCACTATCTCGACTTCTTTTAGTTTGGATTTGAAGCAGTGCTTTTTACCTTTTTAAAAATTCTTTTCGTGACTATTTAATGCCTCTAAATAATATTCTACTAATAATAACCAACACTTTGAGTGCTTACTACTATCTCCAAAGAGCCTGTACTTTTGTGTACAGTAGTTTTATTATAGTACTGAGAACTCTACCTATCTGCAAATATGTGGAATAATCAAAGGAAGGGATTAGATTTTATCTGTAAAAGAACAAAAAACCACAACCCAACAACTACAGAATCATTAAGCTGACATTACAAGGAGGGAGAAAAAACCAAGAAAAACTTCTTAAGGTAATAAACTCTTAATAACCAGGTATGCAAACAGAGGTCCTGCCATTTCCTACAGGAATGCTGGAGAGATAACTCTTGCATGACCTAGAGACGGATTAGATGGTTTCTAAGGGTCAAATACATTGTACAGTGATACAAATATCTATATGCAAATTTCTCACTGTTTTGTGGCTGAGTGCCCCAACTTCCCAAGTCTAAACTACACAACAAGAGTTTCATTTTCAATCACTTTTATTTTTTGCTGCCTTCCCCACCCCCACCCCAGCTGTTAGCCTACAGACAGAAAGAGCACTATCTCAAACACAGGTCTATCAAATAGCTGGAGGCCATGGATGACAATAGCAAATTGGAAGAGGAAGCAACTTGGCACAGGAGACAGAGTAGTGGCCACTGAGGCCAGTGTTTTGCTCTTGTTAATGTGACCTCAGGGAAGAGGGTACCTTGACTGGCTTTTGAGAGTCAGATTAGAAAAACCCTCAGGGGCACACAATGCATTAGAGAGAGGTATGGTCTTGTGGAAGAGAAGAGATATTGTTAAAGGGGTCAGTCAGAGGAGCTTTAACATGGTTGAATCCTTACCCAGTTTAGACCAAAGATCCCATATCCTATCTTTCCAGACCTTGCATGGAAAGTAATACAAGAGCAATAATTGGTCTCCTTAGCAGTTTCCTGGGAGTCAGGACAGATCTGAGGAGGGCTGCCACCAGGGGATGGGAGGGGGCACACTCACTTGTTGCAGTGTTGTTTGAGATGTTTCTTGTAGCCATCATCATGCAGGACCACCTCAGGGTTGCAAGTGGCCAGCCAGTCCGCATTCTTCAGCTCTGGGAGTAGCAGCTGGTTCTTCGTCTTCTTCCCCTTCCTCCCTCTGGGGACTGGGGCAGACAACCCTGAACAGAAAAGTGTAGGGCAAGTAGGTGAGCCAAGGGGGCTCAAGCATGGTTGTGAGAACAGAGCGGGGTGGGCCCTGGATGAGGGACCTATTCCTCAACACATAGGCAGTGATGGTGGTGAGGCGATGTGCCTAGTCCCCTATTTAAGAAACCTTGGGACCATTCAATCAGTCAGTAAAGCTCACTCAGTACCCTGTGAAGATTAAGAAAGGTGTAACCCAACCTATGCCCTTTGGGAACTGTATATCCTAGAGGGGGGAAAAGGAACACCTGAAACTTGAATGAGAGCTTTGGCCAAGCATAGGGAAGGAGAAGTACAGAGAGAGGTGGAATAACAGAATAGTGAAATGCAAAAGGCAAGTCAAAGAGCACAGGTGTGAGTTCCCAATCCAGGGAAGCAGCCCCATGAGACTCAGGTTAGTGGGCAGGACTGGCTTGGAACTCTTCAACAAGGCCCAACTGTACTTAAACAAAATGTCACAGACAACACTGGATGATTCTGAGGGAGAACTGAAAGCATCACCATCCTTCCCTCAGGTAACATTCTGAAATAGATATGAGAAAGAAAAGTTCCCCAAAGCACAGCAATATGGCCCCTCAAAGGAAGAGGGAATGAAGGTGCAGGGAGCTGTATATCTAAGGCATGGCCCTGCCACCTCTCACCTGAGTGGTTCTGGAGAGTCTGGGCCTGTCCATCTTTGGTAGGTGTAATCAATTCCCAGATGAAACTCTTGATCTTCTCGTCCCCCTTATAATGCTTGACACAGTACACCAGCAGGGCACGGCAAATCATCTCCATGTCCTTCTCGTTCAGATGCCACTTGAATCGGCCATGAGTCAGGATGTCCTTCCACCGGCCCCAGCTGACAGTGACAATACAGAAGGGTGTTTGTTGGAGGGAGGAAGGGTCCTGCATGCACCCACCCAACAGCAGGCAAACAAGAGCCCAGAGTACTTCTCACTCTCAGCTGGGTCTGTTGGGTCTACTAATCACCTTGAGGGCTATGTCCCAAAAGTCCTCTGAGGACTGCATGACTGTAGTACCCCAAATGTCACTAAGGTGATCTGCACATTGGACACTGAGAGCTTCATATGGCCACTAGAATATTAAAAAGGGAAGTACCAAAATACTAGGAGCGAGGAATAAATTTTGAATTAAAAGAGTCCAGCTGCAGTATTTAAAAGCAATGGTGAACTCACAGAAGCTGAACCTTCTGTTTCTGCTAGAGTCCCATACAAGTCATACCTTGACTGTTACATTTGTTGCACTGACTCCTTATATATTATTAGGGGGAAGAGGCAGGAGATCAGTACCAGACAGCAAATGAAAGATTTGCTGTTACAAGTAATGAGAAAATCACAGCACCTCTACACCATGGCTGCAGAGCATATTAAGACTAAGGGAGACTCTGGGAAGATAGACAGTTGTCTCTTGCTCCAACAGACCCCCGTCAGTCCCGTAATTCCAGAGCTGACTAGAAAGACACCCTGGGCAAATCTCAGCAACTGAAAAGCAGAGGGGGAAAGAACAATAACAAAACCAAGCAGAGCCAATACCCACCCAAAGATGAGCAGGTTCTTCTCTACCCGGAAGCACTCAGCTCGAAGGTAGCGCCTGGCTTTGTCATTGAGGCGCCTGGATCTCGTGGGCCTTTCATCTGAGTCACTGTCTAACTCTGAAAATTCCATGAGCTCGTCTTCCTCAAATGAGTTGTAGTGTTTGGTCTGCTTTCTCACACGAGGTCGGTCGATCACTAAGCTTTCCTGGAAATGGAGAGGATTGTTGGGAAAACGCCCTCTTCTCTTTGCTACCATCAGAGTGCACAAATATATCCTTCTGTCGTTCCTCACGACATATTTGGGAAAGAGCCACGCCCCTGTCTCATCTTCTAGCAGGAAAGGCTCTTCCCCAGCACACCTGCTGTCTCCATGACTACAGGACAAGCAGAGGGGATTCTCTGGGACTTGCTCAAGTTGGCATGTTCCCTGGCCCCCAGTGCTGTCTGCTGTTTCTGCAGTTATTCTACCGGGAGCAGAGGCAGGCAAGCCCCCCTCCCATGCCCACCAAAGCCTGCTCTTGCCTGGAAAGACTGGAGTGGTGAGCCCCAGCTGTTCTGCTCAGCATGCAGAGTGTAGTCTGAGCTCAGGACACAGGACATGCCAGAGAATTCCATTTGCTCAGCAACTTTCTGAAGACAAATGCATATTCTGGCTGCTTCTATTATCTGCCTTCCGCTGGTACTGATATAACTAACCTTTTTGTCTTCTGCCAAAAATACAATCCCCAGCTCAGTAACCTCACTCATTCTGGTGGCACCCTTGGGCACACCCATCACCTGTTCTCTAGTTTCCTTCGCTTCCTGCTCTTCACCCCTTTCCCCCACCTATTCCCAAAGCCAGGCTAACTCTGAACCCTCCTCTACATAGGCCAGATAAGACATTTCCAGTGTCATCCCCGCTTTGATCACAGTGCCTCCTACCTTGGAAGGATCTGACTGCTTCTGACTACCTACTTCCCTTTCTCACCCTTACTGTCCTGCATACATGGTAACTTCTTGATCTGACACTGTAAGAAACACTTAAAACAGGTTACTAAAGGAGACTTCAGAAAGTTCTGAAAAGAAGAAAAATAGTATTTCTATTTGGAGAAAAGAGGTTGGATTAAGCAACTCCTGGCAATCCTACAGAAGAAATGTACTGATTACTACACTAGCCAGCTATAAGCAGGAATTATCTCCTGGGTTTGTGGGTCTATCAGAGTTCAACACTCACCTGAGAAGAAGGGTAGAAAGGGATGTGTACTCATCCTGAAGTTAGTTGATGGGTCAGAGATGGAGTGAGGAAAATTAACACTTGAGGGGTACCTTACAGTGAGCAGGGCACTGGTGCCAGTCATATTCACAAATGTTACCTTACGACCCTGTGGTGTGTGCTTCGCCACCTCCTTTTATTAGTTGTCTCAGTGAGGTCAAGTATGCTCAAAGGCATATTCTGGTTTCACCCCAAAGCCCATTCTTTTTCTCATGTACAGAAACAGGAAAACTTATGACAACAAAAGAATGGAGGTAAAGCTAAGAAACTTTTCTTTGCCATGCTTTTTTTTCCCTCTTTCTATTATTTATCAAAGGTGAAGTTTCTTTCATAGCAAGTGTTGAAATAGTGGTAAAATAGTCACATGCTAGGGATGGAATATTGGCTGAACTTGACTTGTTTGGCCAGTTCAGTTCTCATTGCCTTCGTCTAATTTCCTGAGTGGCCAACAGACTGAATGTCCTATTAGGTCATTTTAAAATCGCAAAAGTTAACATTTATCAAGTGCTGTCTATGTGCCAGGCATGCTGTAAATAAATTACAAATATCATGTCATCTAAGAACCATGACTCAGGAGTAAATGACTTGAGCCGTGTTGGAATTTATGGTCGTATAAGACACCAGTGAAATGTTCAGTAGAATAACATTCTTAAGCTGTACCTTTTCGTTCTTTGCTTCAGTGTCTAGTTCAGCTATTTTAGCCCATTTCTGCCAAAAGTTAGGATCATCTAAAGAAATATCTGTTCTGTTTCCTGAAGCCACAAAGCTAGCCTGTGAAGAAAACAAGAGTCAATAAAATGCACTTGAACACAGTACAAACTAATAAACCACTTGTGTTATTTCAGATGCACCAGAAACTTACGTACATTATCTATCTGCATTTAAAACCAAACCCCCAACAGAGCTTCTGCAACAAATGTGAAAATCTCAAAGCTATTTTTTTCTTTTAAAGATAGGGTGAGAAAATTACAATTTCAACCCATGGGATCATTTTTTGGAACTTAAACTTGGAAGTAGAAAGGCAGATCCTGGAAGACAATGGCAATGTGCTACTTGGTGTATATGAAAGGGTTAATTCTTCTAACGTTTCTAGGCCTGGCACAGTGGCTCACACCTGTAATCCTAGCACTTTGGGAAGCCGGAGGATTGCTTGAACCTAGGAGGAGTTTGAGCCTACAGTGAGTTATGATGACGCCACTGCACTCTAGCCCAGGCAACACAGCGAGACCTTATCTCCAAAACAAACAAAAACAACCAATTTTTCTTTCAGTTCAACAGTTACCAAATGTCTGCTACATAAAAGGTACCTGGGTGGGCAATATGAAGTATAAAGGTAAGTCAAGTGATGGCTCAACCATATATTCTCCTCTTTCAGCCTGTCATATTGAAAAAGTCCTATGGGAATGACCAAACAGGAGATTTAATCAAACAGGTCACAAACCTCACACAGGAATCAGCAAAGCTTATGGCCAGAGAAACCTGAGACTGAGCTGTAAGTTCTAAATCCAGTGACCTGAACAGCAGAAAAAAAAGGCAACTAGACTAGAAGCTGGGAATCTTATGGAAAATCTCTCTTGTATGAAAAGAACAAAATGCTTGCTTAAGTGTGGGGAATGTAGAGTTCACTGGAGGTTCTACTCTGACAGTGATCAAGTAGTGCTCTAAAAGGGAGTCAAGATGATCATTCCAAGGCTTCAGAGCAAACTACAAACTAAATTATCTATCCTTCCTGCTAAAGATCAGCTCTCAATGTCTAAGAGTAGTGTTTTCTTTCTATAGCCCCTCACTATTCAGACTTCCTCTAAGGACCTGCATCTTCAGAGAGTCACATAGACTAAATGAGCAGTCAGACCATTTTCAAGAGTTTGCATTCAGGCCAGACGTGGTGGCTCACGCCTGTAATCCTAGCACTCTGGGAGGCCGAGGTGGGCAGATTGCTCGAGGTCAGGAGTTCAAAACCAGCCTGAGCAAGAGCAAGACCCCGTCTCTACTATAAATAGAAATAAATTAATTGGCCAACTAATATATATAGAAAAAATTAGCCGGGCATGGTGGTGCATGCCTGTAGCCTCAGCTACTCGGGAGGCTGAGGCAGCAGGATTGCTTGAGCCCAGGAGTTTGAGGTTGCTGTGAGCTAGGCTGATGCGACGGCACTCACCCTAGCCTGGGCAACAAAGCAAGACTCTGTCTCAAAAAAAAAAAAAAAAGAGTTTGCATTCAGAGAAACAGAAGTCTGCCAATGATGGTGAAAGAATAAACAATTTTCCTTTCCCTTCCACCCTCAATGACTCTGTAGAGAACGTCCTGTACCTTGGCAAAAGTGGACCCTTTCCCCTCGGACTGGATGGTGATGGTGTGGGTTCTCCTCTGCAGAATCTGGTCTATGTCTTCTTCACAGAACTTGGAGCCTTCATCTTCTTCATCCATTAAGGCTCCATAAGCACCTTTCCGAAGCAAGTCCTCCACCTCCATTTTTGAGAGCTGCTGTACCTGGACAGGTCACCAAAGGCTACTCACAAAGTGGAAAATGTACAGGAGAAAAATAGCCTCAAATCTGGCCTTTTGATTCAGTATAAAATTCTTCCACTAACTGAACACGTTATAAGAACAAAGGACATGGGCACAAACTTCAGAATATAAAAACCCAGACAAAGGTACTCTGGGGGTGGGTAGGCAGGCAGACAATCCTCTATAGGGAGCTCTGGAATAAAGCCCAGCACATGATCCAAGGACCCTAGCATTCTGTAGGATATTAGTTATTATGGAATGTCATACACCATTAAAACCATATACCATTGAAGAGGATATTTCTGACATCTTTTTTAATATTTCAGTTTGAGCCTGTGTCTTAAAAAACCTCCAGATGTACCAAATGAGCTGAAGAATAATGATTTATTCATTATTAAATACATACATTAGTACTAGAAGTTTTGTCATTTCTTGACTTTAAAAAAAAAAAGGATCCTGTGCCAAGTGTGATCTTCTCAAGTCTTGATGCAAACAGGAAATGGGGTTCAAAATACCCTTTCCTGGTTGTAATTAAGAATCTGGTTCTCCTTATATCAATCAGAAAAGGGAATTCCATGACTCCCAGCATGGGCAACTTGAAGTTTTATACTTAGCAACATATACATAGCCGAGAGGATATAGAACATCTGGACTAAAGATGACTCATTTAGAGGTTTTAATTCCCAATCATTGATGCCCTGAGTCCAGACATTAAGGATTCTACTTTGTTTGCCTATACTTTGAAACAATTTAAGAATCTTAGCTGCAATTCTGCCTAATGCTCCTTAAGGCTCCAGAGCAGGCGCATCTAACTCACCCCATTGGTGCTGCCTTTTCGGTTGATGTCCTGGAGAACAGCCTTGTCCAGCCCCAGCTTTAGGCTGGCCTTGTCAAACATCTCCCGCTCGTAGGAATTCCGAGTGATGAGGCGATACACCTTCACGGCTTTGCTCTGGCCTATGCGGTGACATCGGGCCTGAGCCTGGGAAGAGGGGTCACATACATCATGTCACCATGCATAGCGGCAGCCCTGGGAATAGGGAAGTGCTTAAATATCATGTGGTGTGAGTGACTCAGTTATGAGTCATGGAACTGATTTCAGAATAGAATTCACCCCAAATGTCAGCTGTCATCTTTGGGGGCCCTCATTTCTTCTCCCATTGTTTACCGATTGCTGTGTGCCAGGGACAAGGCAATGAGAAGAACGTGGTGTCCTACCTCCCCAGCTGTGTTCTGCATGCAAGCACCTTGTAAGGTAGCACTCACTGCCAGGACCCTGGCCTGCCCTCTTGGGAAATGCCTCAGAGCTGGCAGCACCACTTTTTTACTTTTACTATAGAAAATTTCAAACACAGATAAAAATAGAGAAAAGTATAATGACCTTTTATGGACCATCTCCTTTATTTCTACCACACACCTACCCTCCAAGACTGTTAGGAAGTAAATCCTAGGCATCATGCTGTTTTATCCTTAGATATTTCAGTACGTATTTCTAAACATAAAGACTCTTGTAAAACATACCATATAATCATTGCCACACTTAAAAAATTAATTCTTAGTACCAACTATCTAGTTAGTGTTCCAATTTCCCTGCTTATCTCACTTTTTAAGTGTGCTTAAATGCTTGGATGAGGAGCCAAATAAGGCCTACATAGCACAGTCAGTTGATACGCTTCAAGTTTCTTTTAATCTATAGATACTCCCAGCCTTCAATCTCTTTTTTCAAAAGCAATTTGCTAAAGAGACCAGGTATCTGTCCTATAGTTCCCCCACAATATTTTGCTGACTGCATTCCTGCTATGTCACTGAACAGCTACCTCTATTCCCTGCATTTCCCTTAAAGTAGGAGTTGTATCTTGAGACATGATTAGGCTAAGATTTGGTTTTTGGAAAGAGTATTTCATAGGTAGTTTCAATTTCCATCAAGAGGTTCATGGTATCTGATTGTCTCTCTTATAAATTGATGATTATTGCCTAGATCCATTACTTCATTAAGGGTTACAATTCTTCTCCCTTAAGGTTTTGGCTAACCTGGTATAGAGTTCATATAGGAGAGACAAAATAAATGTTTTATTCTATCTCTTTAATCAGTATCCAAAATAACATCTTCCAAAAGTGGCCAATAAAGATTTTTATTACTATTAGTTTTTTAAGGAACATAATGAAGTCATGCATTTAAATATATTTTCTATGTTTTACTATACTACAGTTATTATTCTTATTGCTGTCCAAATTTGGCTTGTGGAAGCCTCTTCAAGTGGGCTCCTGAGTTCTTTCAACATGATCCGGTCAAATATGGAAAGGAAGAAGATCAGAATAAACTCTGTGGTGTTGGAATGGATTTGAAGTATGAACTCATGGTTAGATATGCATATATATACAAATATAGAAATAGGTATGGATATATGGGTATTTAGGTCTGTACGTTGTATCCAAGACCAGCAGTCTTTTGAATGTTCCCTTGCTTTCAACATATTTCACACTCCTCTGATATATTTCCTGCCCAGTCCTGTATCAGACACTTTTTTTTTAAAGAGTCCTAGTTTGTTTTAGTGGAAAATAGTTTTTATTCCCCCTGAGTAAGCAAGCAGAGGGGTGATTATTGACATTGAGAGGGAGGAGTGGCCACATCATGTGTGTGAGTCCTGCAGATACCCCTGGACCCCCTTTCTTGTTTTGGACAGAGGTGGCCCAGAGCAGTGAGGGATGTGGCCCTTGCTCCTTGGTGAGTTAGTGGCAGAGCAGGACTGTAGCCTTGGACTTCTGCTCTTGCCCAGAGTCCAGAATAGCAAGTGATGGGATCACTGGCTCTGAGGCCAGGCTATTTAAAGGTAGCTGGTATCTCATTGAGTGTGGGTTTGAAGGCACTAGGCCCAGAGAAAATGGGGTGAATCTAAGCAGGGATGCTGAATCTACCCACCCTGCACTCATCTGGTGGCAGAGTCCAAGGACATGGAAGCCCCTACCCATGGCTTGCCTATATCCTCTGCCTAACCTCATAGCTGAAAACCACACCAGAATTCCTGTAACTCAGTGCTATGGTAGCCCAAAGACTGAGAAGCCCAGTAAGTGCTGGGACAGAAGAGAGACCACCAAGGAAGGGGTACGGGATGGGTCCAATATAGCAGGGCCCAGAGGAGGGAAGACCCCAGGCTGTGCAGGCGTTCCTTGGTCTGGGCCTAGATACTACTTGCCACCTGGCCTCCTATGTAACAGAGGTTCTTCTTGCACAAAGCTTTGAGTTCATCTTGGTGCCCAAAATTTACATATCCTGATTTACCAAGTTGTTCTTGGGGCAGGAGGGAAGGCAGAACTTGTTGTCCACTCTCACTTTCTCAGACTCAATAACAATGGCAGTTACTTCCCGGGGGGACCCAGACCCCACTGAAAAAGGAGCATGTAGCTGGTTGGCAGGAGCTATGTGCAAGACCACCAAGCACTGGCAGCAGCACAGACCTGAGCTTTCTGTGCACAGCAGGCCCACAAGCAGAACCAGAGCAAAGGTCTTCCCAGTTTAGGAACAGCTTATTCTTCCTTTCTCTGGCCAAGCTACAGAGGTAAGTAGCTAAGAAACAGTCTAGCCACAGGTTGTAGTCAGAGACAACAATCTGGATGTTCTAGGGGTGCTCACTGCTACTAGGTTGGTCATGGTTTCTAGGCCTATTCGGTGGGCAAATATAGGACAATGTGTGTGTGCAGTGTATGCAATCATGTGCATATATAAGACAAAATACATCATGAGGTGATACTGGTATTTTTAGTTTAAATTATGACTGTGGGATTTTAACTTGATCAATCTCACATCTGTATTTCCTTTTAACCATGTTGAAAAGCTCAATTCTCAACCACACCAATATCATTACTCATTTATCCCATAACATTCTCAAAAAAACACAAACAAACAAAAAAAAACCCCACACTACAACTTAACCAAAATATAATTACTAAAAACAATGTCAGGTTTTTGTATTTCCCCCACCAATTAGAGTTATATCCTACCAAGTATGTACAGTCAAATTACAGTATTTTAAACACATACTTGAAGGTAGGTTTCTTTTCTGCAGTGGCAGTGTTAGCAATCCTGAAACGACTGTCTGTGTAATCTAGGATTGAGCAAATTAAGTAAAATATACTGGTAGTTATGGGAGTAAGGGCTTTCACTGTTGGAGAAAGAAGTTATTAATACAGAAATAAAACGAAAACTAGAATAAACTCTGTGGCATCAGAATGGATTGGAAGTATCAGTATTAACTCATGGTTAGGTATACACACACAGATATAGAGACAGATATGCATATACATGTATTATTTATGTATGCATATACACATATACAAATGAATGCATATGTTATACACATACACATATTTATATTATCTATATATGTGAGAGGGCCTCAAAGCAATGTCATCCCAGGAGCAATGAATACACCTAACTCCCAGACCTTCTAGATATCGTTCTCTATAAGAGAGAACCAAAGCATGTTAGAGAAATGGCTAATTGTGGGTAGGGCTGGGAGAGAGAAAACACAGAACGAACCTGAAATATATTATTGTGCCAAATGTAAGAAAGTATTCAAACAATGACTGAGGTATATCAGAATAACGCTTGAGGCTTGAAGAGACTGCCATTGGCTAAGTCTAAGACGATATGAACATCAACATAAAGATAGTAACGGAGTATAGTCCACTGAATAAAAAAAGAACCCTAGAGTCCATACTGACATAAATAAATAAATGGGAGAAAAAGGGAAAAACTCTTACTTATAGCAGAATGCCAACTAGCAAACGTGTAGTGACAGAGTTATAAAATCACCACTTTGTAACCATCATAGTGATGACTGATTCAGGCAAAAATAATCAATGGAAGCTAAAACAAGTCGGTGAAACTTTGATGAGAAACAGGTATAGTCTCAATAAATTGCTCCAAAATTACTTATTAATTTCAAAGGGAAAAATAGCAACTCCACAGGAGAGAAGTCTGACAGACACCACTTAACTAAGTGATCAAAGTCACCATCATTAGACAAATGGATACTATGTTATTCCTGAGGTGCTATATTGAGAAGGATGTATCAGTTCTGTGGTAGTACTCAACCTGAATCCATTCCTGAGGAAACACAGACAAACCCAAACTGAGACAATCTCTAAAACAACTGGCCAATACTCTTCAAAAACGTAAAGATCATGAAAGAAAAAGAAACACTGAGGAACTGATCCAGATTAAAGGTGACTAAAGAGATAGGACAACTAAATGTAACAGGTGATCCTGGCTTGGATTCTGACTAGGGAAATGACAGTGATAAAAGATGTTGAAAGAAATGATAAAACTTGAATACAGACTGTGGATTAGAGAACAGTATTCTTATTTCCTGACTCTGAGAACTGAACTATAGTTCAGTTCTCAGAGTTCAGTTCTACAACAGAAGGTCCTTGAACTTAGGAAATACATGTGAAAGTACTTAGGTGATAAAGGTGTACAATGCCTGCAACTTACTCTGAAATTGTTCAGGTAAAAAATGATGTGTGTGTGTCTATGTGTGTACTCAGAGAAAGAGAGACAACAGAGAAAGAGAGGTCAAAAATAATAAAGTGAATTGGCAAAACGTGAACGGTGAATCTGGATGAAGGGTATATTGGAGTTGCAAAATGCAATTATATCAAAATGAAAATGTACAAAAATATCAAGTATAGACCCTTAAAATAATTCCTCTCTAAGGAGGAGTTATGTCTGTTCACTTGGTACATAGCTAGATTCAATTGTTTCATTTTGCTTTAGAATTTTAGAGATTGACTTTTCTTTCCATTAATTTAACCACACTGAAGAAAATGGAGAAGAAAATAACTAAACTAAGTAACTTTAGAAAAGGGTATTCTAACTACATATAATACTAACGACCAAAAAACCCAGTATAGACCAGTATTATACTCTGGTAAATTTATTTTTCACAAAATGTAGGTTTGCAATTCTGAAACTACTTGATG